CGTTCGCAGTATGAACATCTTCTATGTTATATTTAATATTTTTAAAAAGATCCACATAGGTGACCCAAGTGTTCAAAGAAAACATATCAAGTCATAAACTATGTACAAAGGTCGACTTGGAGAGGCTTGGAAAGTAAACACTTTATTAAATACTAAGCACGTATAATATTCCGTCACAATGCTTGATGTTTTACAAGACTTTTAAGTTTAATTTCACGAGAAAATAGAGCATATGTTACCCGTCTGAACCACTTTTTCATAAGTCCAACACTAGAACAACTCCAATTAGATTATTCCTGTTATAATAAGGTTGAAAGTACTCATGATTTTTCCACTTATTGCACACACACTGATACTGATGACGGCACGTCGCGCTGCTCTGCACCACACTAGGGGCGCCCTCTGCCTGCTTGTCCACAAACTGCGACTTTTCTTCCTTCGCGCTGTCCTCCGGATGTTTCCACCCACCAGTGACGTTGCACCGATACGTGAAATTTTGCCGCCCACCACTTGGAAAATTGGCGATTTACTACTGTGCGCTTTTCAAGACACTTTTTGCTCGCACTACCAATCGGTTTAACAAGTTATCGGCTGCGGTATTTCCGGATCGACACGACCTTCAAACCTTCAAGAAAAGAGCGTACTTCTTCCTCAAATGCTGTTCCAGTTCCTGTTTCGCTTTCCATCAGGTGCCCCGTTTGCTCGTTTGCCGTTCCATAAAAAAATAATCTAATTGTGAGCTAAAATGAACCGTTAAGAATTCAAAATAATCATGTAAAGAAACCAATAGAAATATTTTTCTCTGTCTCCAATATGTATTATCGCTAAAATTTTGTAAACCTCTAACAAAGCTATAGTGTTATTTTTTGTAAAAGAAAGTGCTCCTAATGAATCCCCCTATTAATCTCATAAATATATTTTGTAATTTATCTTACTTGTTGAGATGAGTTTGACTTGCATTATCATATAAAATACTGCCATAGTCGAACCTACTCCTAATTAAAGAGATATACAATCGCCTCATATGGATAGTATATAAACCCCATTTTGATCCACTAAGTATTTTAAAAATGTTTAAAAACTTCATTAACCTATCAGCTGTTTCGTTAAAGAGCGATTAGCCATAAGCCGAAATACTTTACATTGTCCACAACCGGCAATGATATGTCCCTAATTTTGAGATCAATTACTTCCCTCTTATAACTTCTTTTAAAAGTACAAACTTTACTTTTTGTCGTCAATATGTCGAGACCGATATTAGCGAGTAAATTTAGTGCATACTGTAAATTACGTACCATGTGTGTCTGCTGGTTATGTACAACGCAAAGTCATCGGCATGCTGTGAAACACTGACATTGACTATTTGATTGGGTCACCCTTTTTTTTTTTTCGTGCGGAAATCCCATCGGATACCACCTATCGGTGGCATGTCGGACTCGAACCGACTAAAACCGCACGCCGTCTCGGGTTCTAATAGCCGGGGAACCGGGTATACCCCAGAAAGGAAGTCCCTGGTGCCCCGACATACCTCGGGCCATCTACAACAACAGGTAGACGACCCCCCCGTGTGAGATCCCCATGTTCCCTCTGCTCCCTGGAAGCGAGCGCTCTTCGCAACGCGCTCGTCGCCACCCCGGCCTGCTTCTGCTAGGGTGACAGATGGCCTCACCTGTCACCCCCAGGCCTGCGCTTATGGAGGACGGAGGTCGTTCTGCGACCTCTGGCGCCTGAGTCGCCTGCGGTACCTGGCCCGTTCCCGGGCCTGGCGGGCCGGGAGAGTCCTAAACCTCTCCCGGTCCCGCTCCGCCGTCTCCTTCGCAAGCATAACTTGCTCGCAGAAGGAGACGGCTGATTGGGTCACCCTGTGCTAATGATCGTCCCGTCATCCGATACACGGAGTAATTGTATGAAGTAATATTAAGCTTTCTTTCTTTAAGATATTTCCAAACACACACATACACATTCTATGTCCCACTCCGAAACGGTCCATTATATGCAACAAACTCACTATGTCTATATCATTATATGCATCACTGATATCTATAAAGCAACCTATAGTTATTAAATTTGCAGAAAAACCAATTTGTAACTATGGAACTAAATCTGTTAAATTATCTATTGTAGAATACTAGTAAATTAGTTGGTATTATTTTTAACCCTTCCACCTAAGCTCAATGCTTAAGCTAATAAAACACGCAATGCAAGTCCTAAGGTTCAAACTTTATGCAGCTTATACCGCCTTATCATATCTTTTGGTGCTTCAGAAGCGATTTTTACGTTTTCTAATTTCTAATAGAAATTAACTAGGTCTCTTAGTATTTTGGTAGAATTTTCATCAAATGTAGTGGTCACCCTGGTTTTGGTCACAGTCGTGCTAGGTTTGGGTCCGCCATTAGTGCTATTTCGTTTTGTTTGTCTGTTTTGGTCTATTTGAGTAAGATTTTATTGATTACTGCTATGATCATGGCGTTATCAAAGCATCCAGTAATTAGCGCTAGTCCCTTATTGTCTAGTTAATCTGGTTTTGCTAAAGATTTAAAGTGACATCTTAACATCATAAGTCATAACACCTGGTAACTGTCTTTTTAAATGAAGAACTTAATAAAAAACCAATGAATTATATTAATTTTGATTGTGATTAATTGTATAATAAATTATATTACAAAATATTGTCAAATTATGTTGTGTAATCAGGCAAATATAATCAGTATTATGAAATGTGTAATACAACTAAGCAAAAATAAACATGGTCGCTGTTATATCACTTAATTTTAAATGAAGTGCGTGTAAAGTTAGATAAAAAATAATATTATATTTAATCGTAATAAAGTATTACGGATGTTACTTAAAGGTTTCATTTATGAACACTGGTAAGTAGTTAACGTAAACGTAGTTAACTTTTTGACTATCGTTTTATTGAAACTTTTGAGTTTATTATTGTCATGTAAATATAATATGAACAAACAGAACTTGGGATAAAAAATCAGTTCAAAAATTGCTTAAAAATATAGTAGTTAGTTTCAAATGAATTTAAACTGAAGTAAAGTTTCAAAGAAGGCAATGTAGTCAGCCAGTAATAATAAAATAATGATATATGCAATAAATAAAATTATAATATATGAATTAAAAATAAGTATCTTAGCACCTAAAATAAAATTAGGTATGTCATCACATCAACGGCCTTTAATAGTCCACTGCTGGACATAAGCCTGTGCTTGGAAAGAAGGTTTTGGCCTACTATACCACACGGGTTTGTGTCAAGTTTTCCTTCTCTCTGCAGTGCTGTTGTTCTGCATAGTTTTTTCCCTTATTCGGCTCTTACGACATCCACGGGATGAATAGTGGTGGTGACACTTTGTATTCTTAATCCGTCACCACACGGATATTGTTTTTAAATTAAGATTTCATTCAAAAATAAAGTAAATAAAAGGTTTAAAAAAACCTAAGTAAAATATTATAAGAAGGAATTTATGAGAGTGTACCACAGCTGTGTACATTGAGCAGATTGTGCATGAAATTTCCAGCAAGGTTACTCAATGCATGCTCTATTGGGACATGGTGTCTCTATGTAATTTTCTAAAGGTTGATCCAAAAAATTACATGAAAATACAAAATAAAATATAATTTATTCCAAACAAAAAAAGATTGGCTATTTAATCTGAGAATGTGTTGTCAATCTGAGGCTGCTTTGACCCCATCGCATTCATAACTGTCGCATTAACACTAGGTGATAAAGGGGTGATGTCTTTTTAAATGTCTTGTAAGATTTTTTGTATTTCTACTTGTGTCACAATTAAACAAAGTTCACATTTCGCTCTTTTAGGGGTTTTCATAAGATTAGACCGCACACTTGACTTTATAGGCGGCCAAACCACAATGTCTGGACCACGATCCGACGAATATTTTATAGATTTGAATCGATCCACATTCAGGTCGCATGTTTTTGATCCAACCCGAAAATCTATTGGATATGTGTAATTAGCTTTGGCTATCCTTTTCTCAGTTTCCATTAATCAAACTTTTCAAAATTTTCTTAAAGGTTTCATATTTTTTTGGTACTGTAGTATGCCATATTTTTCACCAGTTTCCCCCGCTTATCATTCTTTTAAAAAGTATTTTTTTCTTATTTGTTTGGGAGAGAAGAATTCTTTTAATTGTTGATTGAGCACTTCTGCTAATAGCAATTGTTTCTTAACTGCGCCTCTGGCACTTGGAGAATTCTTCACTTATTCTACTTTGCTGTTAAGTGTATTTTTTTCAGGTTTTCGTAATCTTTGTAACGTGCTAATTTAGTTTATTTATAGTCAATTTATTTTATTAACCTCTTCGGACTTGAACTCATATAAAGCAGCAATATAAATATTTTTAAGGCTTTTCTGCGAAGTAGAGGTACAGTTAAGTTAGTTTCATTTCATTTTATTTCCGTGGACATCAGCTCTAGAGTGTTGTATAAATTCATATTTAATTAATAAAGATTAGTAATTTAAAGTCACTAATGCTGGACACTAATATAAACACTTATGTTTATATGAAAATAATAATATATTTATTAAACAAAACAATCACAGCTTTTTTACATGAATGCAGTGTATCTTACAAACAATCAACATACTCTTAATTATTAATAAAAAAATAAAATAAATTGTCTTAAGGACTAATAGATAACATCACAAAAAAAGAAAATCACCTTAAGTAGACTGTCAAATGCACTAATAGTTGACATAATATTTAATTAATGCAGTTGGAGTTTTTTTTATTTTATTTTTATTTTTTTTTCTTACAATATCTTTACAGTAGTATTCCAAGGCGATATTGTAGCCACATTAATTAAACTTAGCCAAACTAAACCAAATTACAAACTAAAGTAACAAATTTTACTTTTTATTTTTTAATGGCATCAGTGTGCTTGATATACTTAATTAACTTAGATAATAATTACTAATCCATCAACCACACTATCTAAAGCACTATAATCATATTGGGTACATCAAGGACTTAAATTAATTTGCTTTTGCTTTGAATACTGTTTTAGATTCATCACATGCTACTATTGCCATAACTTCAATTTCTGTTTTAGTTACTTTTTGGACAATACAAACATATTTGTAATGTCTCTTTTTGCCAGGAAACTTAACCATAATATAGTGACCTTGCTTAATTCTACTCTCTTCTTCGTTTTCCTCATCAGTGACTTCATCAGAAATATCATTCATGCTGTCTCCGGACTCTACCCATTCCTCTACGGTAGTTCAGCCATTATAGTCAGTATTTTTAAGTTTCTTCATCAACAGCCTTCAATAGTCCACTGCTGGACATAAGCCTCTCCTGAGAAAGGAGGTTTTGGCCTACTATACCACGCTGGCCAGACAGGTTGGTATAGGGTTTGTGTCAAGTTTTCCTTCTCACTGCAGTGCTGATAAGTTTCTTAATAATTATATTTTTACATCTCTTTAATAACTTCTTATCAGTCTTAAGTTTTCGTGCTTTTTCAGTCTCTTCTTTTTTTTCCTATCCTCAGCTCTTTTTTTGTCATCCTCTATGTGTCATTCAGTCTTTTTCTTCTCTTTGTTTTCATGGTATCTTTGCCATTCCAAGATGATACAACAGATGGCACTTTTTCTTTCCTTCTTCCTTTTGAGTTTTGTTTAGGAGTTGCCCAAAACAATGCTCTTTTAAATACTAGGTATTACCATATTATCTGAATTCTTTGAACAACTTTCTTGTGGCCTATTGTAATATTAAAAAATAAAAATTGTTTTTATGCTAATGCAAGTCTATGTTGCATACAAATGAATAAACTAACTAGTTCGGCACCACAAATTCTAACAAAACTAATAATCTCGGGCGCCAGGTGCCGGCTTAAAGGAACATAGACAACTAATAACAAATACAATGAATACCTCAAACAGCTTGGTCAGCGCTTAGACCTTTAATCTAGGGTTGGGGGCAGCTATTAAATAAAGAGATGTTATAAGATTAAGTGGCAGTTTATTTATCCCGTAGTGTCTGTAGAGTACATGGTATATTATGTAATATTAATTTTTTTTTTTTATTTGGATGTAATTGTGTAATGTTAATTGTTATCTGTGTTCCAAATAAACGATTAAACTAACTGGTGGCACCACAAATCCTAACAAAACTAATAATCTCGGGCGCCAGGTGCCTTAACCTTAAATGAACACAGACAACTAACCACAAATACAATGAATGCCTCGAACAGCTCGGTCAGCGCTAGACTTTTAATCTAGGATGGGGGGCAGCTATTAAATACAAAGATGTTGTAAGTTTAAGTGGCAGTTTATTATCCCGTAGTGTCTGTAGAGTACATGGTATCTTAAAGTTCTTATTACAATATGTAATTCTTATACTCAAATTAGTACTGTCGTTAATGCAATCTGTTTAGCTGAATAAAACAAACTAAAATTAAATATGTTTTGAAGAGTCACATAAAGACTCAATAAATAGGAAATGAATCTAAGGGTAGTTTAACAACGCCAACAAAATTAATGTAATAAAAAAACATACCTAATGACTTTGGCTCTGTCCGAATGAAATTAGAGTAAACTTAATTCTTATAAACCTCACTCGTGCTCCTACGTGGTTGTAGTGGCGGGGTAAGTATTCCAAGGTTCCTGATAATGGACTGCAGCTAAATAGCTTTTTCTACCATTATTGGTACGCTCCGCAGCAAACTAAATCCTTGGGTCGGGCCGGTAGTGAGGCAAAATCCAAATGTAACGTAATGACATTACAATCTAATAAGAGAATCGAACTAGAGGTTAAGTAAAAATCTGAAGTAAGGTAAAGAAAATAAGATATAAATAGAACCCTGTTATCTGAAACAATGAAAATTATAGGTTATTTGCCTATCTCAAAATATGAATCCTAAATCTGGTAAGATACAATAATTTACTCACCGGGGTTCCAAAACGTTTCACAAACGCATTATAATTAATTCCTTTACAATGAAAATATCAATTCCAACAAATAACTCGTGTCATTAACGACACTGGCCAAACATTAAAAGATGAATTATGCCTTCGATTACAGCAAACAAACTTGGATTACTAATAGAAAAAAAATTATAATCTCTCGCCCTGACTAATCTCAAACGCCGCCCCTTCCATAAACGCGTCAAAAAAAAAAATGTTGCCAGAACGAGAAAAACTAAATCGACACATTACCATAGACGATCAGCACCGACTATTATTCTCGTCCGTGACACCGTCAATCGGAGCTCACTGAAACGTCATAAAATTCGACCGTCAAACCAAAAACGCGTCGATGAATAAATTTTCTGTAATGGTGCGAAATGCACCGTTACAATTATAGGTCTAATTACAAAGCGTCGGTCTAATTATCAGAATTCGTAAGTCCATTTGAGCAAATTTTACAGGAACAGCAAAAAACTGATTTTCAAACAAGACAAGAGATTTTTAAAAGGGTTTTCTAAATTTGAGTATAAAATAGGTGTACATTTACTAACATTTTTTTGAATTTTGTGAATAATTAATAAAAAAAAGGACTTACGAATTTTTCACTTTCATTCTAGTTGGACTTACGGCTTTTTCTTTGACTTAAGAAGTTTTACAATCCAACTTATATCATTTTGTCTACGACGCAGAGGATTTACGCAGTTTTCAGACACAAAGGTGTTTGTAAAAATTAAACTTCAGAAATTAAGCTTTCTGAGTATCAAAATTGTTTTAATGTCTTAATTATTTAGTAACAGTCTAATTCATCAGTAATTATGGCACGATAATAAGTCTCATAGCTTTTTGTATTAGTCTTAAATCTTAATTAACCAATGGCTTACACAAAATAAAATTATAACAAACAAAACATTTCTCTTCCTCAGTAACATTATTCATAGTTTTAAAAGTTATAAACTACACAAAAATTATGCATTCAATTGTATAAGATTTACCACAGTCACGATTTGCCTCATTTTGAATATCACTTTAAAAATGAGGTAAATTGTCATAAAAATTGTGGTAATCTTTCTCCATAGTGTGCTTGAGGGCCTGGAGATCCTGGTATTTCTCCTTTTTAATTTTAAGTCTCGCTGGATAAAGCTGTGGGATAGTATCCCATGGAATGAATGTAATATTTTTTATTCTTGTAGGAAGTTCTTGCCAATGTGTAGCCGAGTGTCTCAACTTGTATACAATTTTCCCATCAGGAGTGTATTTAAGAGCCCTTAGGTTTGTGACTGTAGGGTCACCTGCTCTTTTACCCGGTCTGATTGACTTGTGGAATTTCAAAGTATTTTCAACATCTTTGAAGAAGTGGTGATAAAGATATTGCACGTCATAAGGATTTTTCTTGCAAGCAGTTTTGGCTATGTAGACGTAATCGGCTGGGATATTTATCTTCTTATTTTTTATTGCCCATTCTATGACGGAGTGCATACTGTCGCATTCCATTTGCGTGTGCCCTTTTTCGAGGAACTTTTGTTTGACAGTTACTTTTTTTCCATGCTGTAGTTTAGTAGAGCGTTCGATAGTACAGAGTTTCTGTTTTGATAGGTACAGCCATCACTATAAATAATTATTTCTTGGTTGCTTTCCAAACGATTTTGTGTTATGAACTTCTCGATAGCTTCTATGATTACTGTTGAAAATTCGTTGCTAGTTAGCTTCCCTTCACTTTCATTCTAAATGTAACAATAACCTTTATTTCTTTTACAATCGAAGACTGTGAAGTTATGTACAATGAGTTTCGTCTTATAATAGAGTGACGACACATTTGACCGCGGGCTTAAAAGCACAGATTGCAAATCCATGGTAAGTACTTCATGTTCTGATGTCTTTAGCAAGTTCGTTCCTAGCTTCCTCTTTCTTATCACGGTGTATTTTATAATCAATTTCTGATACATATGACTCACAAATGTCACACAAGTCCTTTTTCGGTCTATATAAGGACAAATTAAGCGCTTCAAACATGTTATAGAAAGTTGTAACGCTTAATGGCTCAATTTTTTCTCTGACACAGAATTCTTTTCTGTATGTTCCATAGAGCTGAGTTTTTGACGTCCACATAGGTTCCAAGTACAGATTTAAGGAATTTTTTCGACAATAATGTGATTCAAGCTTAGGTATGGAATCAAAAAACTTACGTAACTGCATTTTAGCTTCATCTTTTGTATTGTTTTTTGGTACATCTTTAGGTAGATCGTCTTGAATTATCCACTTTTTTATAACCCATTCTCCAACACACAGACTGTTAAGAAACATGGTTTTGCAGACCCGATATCTTATCCCCTCGCTATCAGTTAAATATAGTTCTACTGAATTTTGCCGTCTTGAATTGCCAGCACACCTTTCTCTTCCTTTTGTCTTGCAAATTGAAGACATTTTAACAAACATCTTCTTTTCTTTCCAGGTAATATTCCAGAATTTATCAAATATCTTTTGTCTTTCCTCGTCTGATATTTTATCACAGTTTATCTTTGTATCACCTTTTTAACTTAATTTGCACTTGCACCTAGCTTTCATCTTTCTATCGAGCTTAGGTTCAACAAACCCCCATTTATTTTCTATCTTCTTCTTTCCTAAATAAGCCTTTCCTTTTTCTCTTTGTTCCTTGTTTTTATTTGCGTTCCATTCTTGAGGCTGACTCTTCTTTTGTCTCTTTCGTGGTGGTTTTTCTGTTGACAAAGTACTAGCTTGCTCAGCTGATTCAATATGTCCGTCTGATGACATCGGAATAAAACTGTCAACAAGTTGAACTATTTCTGTGCTAGTTACAGTGGCAATTTCATTTTGCGTATCCGATTCCATGTTTTCATTAGTGGCCCATTCTTCTTGGTGACTTGTCGTCCCCTGTCGCGATGTTACTTCATCTGCTATGTTCTCATTATCCGTATGTTTTTCAGCTAAGTTCATAAGTACAGTTGTTGTTATATTTGTAGTATGAAATAAAAGATCTAACGTTTTTATGACGACATCTTGTTTTATTGTTATGTCTGCAAACTCATTCTCCCTGGTGTTGCCACAGCTCACACCTACATGTATTACATTCATATCGAACATCCCCCCTTGTATGACAAGTAGGATAAACAGTAACACACAAGTCTCTGTTAAGTTGGCACTTATCTTAAACTTAATAAAATTACTTTTAAACATAACAAAAGGTTACAGACTAAGAATAGCCATCTTAATACACACAATAATCTTTTAAATATTGCGGTGTCTTAACTACTCTACCTGACCTAGTAGTAAAAGGAACCTCAGTAGTAACATTTTGTTTCCTAGAAATGTTAGGAACAACATTATTATTTCCCAGTCTATTATCCCTAACAGGATCATCACTATCCAGTACTTCCCTCTTAATAACTAATTTATTCTTGCTAGGATTTATATGCTTTTCATTCCTTCGAACTACATTGCCTTCCTCATTCATAATTTTGTAAGATCTCGGTTTAACTTTCTCTAAAACTTTCCCCGGCAACCATGTTTTATTAGGCACATTCTGTATTACAACATTCTCCCCCTTTTGAAATGATTTTTTAGTTTTAGCTGTCCTATTATAATTCTGTGAATACTTTTCTTTAATTATTTTCATTTTTTCTGTGACATTAATAGGTAATTTTGGCTTTAATTTATCATATACACATGGTAATGTAGTTCTAAGGAGTCTTGACATGAGTAACTCAGAAGGACTGTACTCTAACCCTGCTACAGGTGTAGTTCTGTATGCTAACAAGCTCATCGCAAACTCTGTACCATCTTCTTTACATTTTTTTAACAAAGACTTTATAATTCCAACAGCTTTTTCAGACAAACCGTTTGACTGTGGATATCTAGGACTAGAGTGAATCAATTCGATATCATACTCTTTGGCAAACTTTTTAAACTCAAAACTAGAAAATGGCATATTATCACTTACACAGAACTTTGGAATACCATGAACTGACATAATTACTTTAAACTGTTTAACAACATTGCTTGCAGTTTTCTCTTTTAAATATTTGACCTCTACCCACTTTGAGTAATAATCAATTAATACCAAAAAATCCTTCCCTGAAAAGGTACAAATATCTACACCAACCTTGTGAAATGGAATATCTGGCACCTCATGAGACATTAAAGGCTCTTTTGCATTGGATGGTCTAAACTTTTCACAAGCTTTGCAGCCTAACACAAAGTTTTCTATGTCCACTGTCATACCTGGCCAAAACAATACCTTTCTAGCACGTTGTTTGCTCTTTACAACACCAGCATGACCTTCATGAATTCGCTTGATCATATCTTGCCTTAAATGCTTTGGAATAACTAACCTATCCTTATAGTATATAATATTGTTATAAACATGTATGTTATTTCTCAATTTATAAAAAATCTTTAACTCTTTGTTATAAAAATTTCTGTCATTACTAGGCCAACCATTGTTATACCAGTTGAGCACACTTTGCAAGTTTGTATCTCTCAATGTTTCATTTTTTAAGTTTTGTAATCTTTCTTGAGAAATAGGCAATTCTTTCTCTAATCCATACACTATTTCTGTACTAATAGTATGTATAATTTCTTGCAAAGTAGGCTCTTCCTGCTTGTTATCACAAAAGTTTCTAGACAAATAGTCAGCTATATACATCTGCGACCCTGGTATATACTTAATCTCAAAGTTATATTTTAAAAGTTTGAGAACCATCCTTTGCAACCTGGCTGAAATTTTACTTATATCTTTTGTCATGATTGCTACCAAAGGCTTGTGGTCAGTTTCAATTAATATTTTGCGTCCATACACAAACTGATGATATTTTTCAACTGCCACACAGATTGCAAAGAGCTCTTTTTCTATAGGAGCCCACCTAGTCTGACACTCAGTATAGGACCTTGAATAGAATGATATTGGTCTCCCCTCTTGCATTAAACATGCTCCCATACCATTTTTTGAGCTGTCTGTTTGTAAAACTACATTTCCTTTACTACTTAACATTGCTAATGTAGGCGCACTAGTTAATTTCTCTTTTACCTCACTAAAAGCCTGCATTTGGGCTGATCCCCAGTTCCATTCTACATCTTTTCTTAACAAAACTCTCAGTGGATCTGTTATTTTTGAATACTGTGGAATGAACTTACTTAAGTAGTTACACATCCCTAAAAATTTCTGTAGTTGTTTTACATTTTTTGGCTCTTCTAGGCTAATTATTGCTTTTATATGATCTGGATCTACACTAATTCCTTCTTTATTTATTATCAACCCTACATACTTTACATGTTCTTGTCTATATTGCAGTTTTTTACTATTAAACTTAACATTATACATTTTGGCTCTATTCATTACTTTAGTTAGAATCCTATCATGGCTTTCTTTGTCCTTTCCTGCGACTATCAAATCATCGAAATATATCATAACTCCTTCTATATCTCCAAATATCTTAGTGTTCATTTTTTGCATCACTTCAGGTGCTGAGGAAATACCAAAAGGCATCCTATTAAACTTATACCTACCAAAAGATGTTCCAAATGTACAAAGATTTTTATCATCCTCTAATTTTATTTGAAAAAATCCGTCCTTCATGTCCAACACACTAAACACTTGTTTTCCTTGTAAACTATTATAAATCTCCTCTGGAGACGGTATCAAAAAATGCTCTCTTAAGATATTATTATTTAACTCCTTCGGATCTAAACATAACCTAAGAGACCCATCAGGTTTTTCAATAATTACTAAGTTATTACACCACTCAGTTGGACCCTCTACTTTTTCTATCACACCTCTTTTTTCATAGTTATCTAAGGTTTCTTTTAATTTATTTTTAATTGCATGAGGAACTCGCCTTATGGGTTTTATGACAGGAACTGCATCTTCCTTTAACTTTATTTTATATGTACCTATGTCACCAAGACCATTAAAAACATCTTTATACAGTTTTATAAAATTTTCTTTGGTTGAATCGAACTGTGAGAGACTTTCTACTCTTTTCACTAAGTTTAACTTAATACAATCAGGTAAGCCAATCACTGGCTGCACTGGTAAGTCAATAATATTAAATTTTAACACTTTCTTTTCATATTTGTAGTAACAGTCCAATTCAGCCTGTCCTACAGTGTTAATTCTTTCTCCATTATACACAATTAGTACATTTTTAGATCTTTTTAACACACAGCTATTATTTTTTATCTTATTATAAGTTTGTAAGGACAAAGTATTACAGTCTGCCCCAGTATCAATTTTAAAGTTAACTCCTTAGTTAGTTAAACTCCTTTTCACATACCTTTATCTTGACTAACCACTGTTGTTTTATACTGTTATTAGTTATCACACTCGACATATAGAAGTTATTATCACTGTCAGTGCTGTCTTCTTCTTCTACGGCATGTACTTTCTTTCTTTCACTAAGCTTCTTCTTCTCTTCTTCTTGTTTCTTATTAAACCTGCACTGCTTTGCATAGTGGTTATACTTGCTACACACTGCACACCTCCTCCCGAAGGCAGGGCACTTTCTAGCCTCGTGATGTAACCCACACTTGTTACACAACTTGTTTCCTTCAGTTTTGCCTGTTTTTTCACCCCTGTGTCGGCTCCTCTCTGTAGTTTTTCTGAGCACATCCACACTCTCCTTCGCCGTACCAGCTATACCCTGTAATTGTTTTCTTCCAGCTTCTGCGGCCCTACAAATTGTTACAGCACGGTCCAGTTCTAAGCTTTCTTCCCGAAGTAACCTTTCTTTTAAAGCACTATCAGCAATGCCAATAACCAACATTATAGCCACTAGTCTGTCTTCCATTTCACCCAGCTCACACTTTTTTCCTTGGTTCTTCAACCTTGTCACAAAGTGGTCAACTGCCTCACCTTCCTGTTGCCTATAGTTAAGAAATTCATAGGTTTTGAGCACCAAGCTCTTCAGTGGCTCTGTATACGCCTCTAAAGCTGCGAATAAAGCCTGTAGCGACACTTTATCTTGCTCCTTTAGAGTATTGAACACATCCACAACTTCCTCACCACCTGCGTTGAGAAAAATGGCTATTTTGCGGTTTTCACTTATTTTTTCTAAACCTGCTGCTTCTACGTAAATCTCGAAAAGCTGTTTAAACTTTTTCCAATTGGCATCTGTCCCACTAAGTTTTAGACCTTTTGGCGGTCGTAGACCATCTACTGAGTAAACCGGCCACGTTTTTTCATTCGGCATTTTGTTTTACAAAGTATTACAATATTTCACTAAGATTTTATTTTCTCCACAAAGGTTATTATCACAATAGTTATATTTTCACTAAAGTTACTTGTTTTACTTAATTTTACACCTGACACCATGTTATATTTGTAGTATGAAATAAAAGATCTAACGTTTTTATGACGACATCTTGTTTTATTGTTATGTCTGCAAACTCATTCTCCCTGGTGTTGCCACAGCTCACACCTACATGTATTACATTCATATCGAACAGTTGTAGGCATCAAAGTGCTAGCCTGCTCAACTGATTCCATGTGTGATGGGATCTGAATCAAACTGTTCATAGCAGGTATATTATCGGGATGTATTATTTCTGTTACAATAGTAGCTGTTGCAATGTTATTAAGGGTGTCACATTCAGGTAATATCGACTGTAGATCTGAATCAAATAAAATAGAAATGCTTTGTTGAAGAGACCGGTCGCTTTTAATTATTATGTTTTGTGGTTTATCAAGCACCAAAACATTATTATTTTGTAGCGTGCAGCATCCTGTTTTAATCTCAGGGTCGGTCGGAACATTTTGCAGTATTTTCGCTATCCGTGAATGTTTCTTCATTATGGTTCTAAAACAACAAAAATTCAAGCTTAGAGATAACCAAAACAATCAATCAAAGTACTATAATCTATACTAATATTATAAAGCTGAAGAGTTTGTTTGTTTGTTTGTTTGTTTGAACGCGCTAATCTCAGGAACTACTGGTCCGATTTAAAAAATTCTTTCAATGTTAGATAGCCCATTTATCGAGGAAGGCTATAGGCTATATATAATCACGCTAAGACCAATAGGAGCGGAGCACCAATGAAGAATGTTTCAAAAAACGGAGAAAATTTATTACTATTGAGAGACGCAGACGAAGTTGCGCGGATCAGCTAGTATTCAATAAAACTGCGTATCTCCGTATCAAGCACTGGAATACTTGTAGGTTATCAAAAAATAAAAACTCTTAACTCCACTCGACAACAAAATAGTTATTTTCGCTTCTTTATAATAAACATTTATCGCTATAATAAATAATTAATTTCATAAACTTACCTTCCAATCTCCACTTCCACGCAAATAATCACAATAACACCTAAATAACAACTCAAAAATAATTCACAATGTGCACGCCCTTCAACGCGTACTAAGCGCGGGAGTTACGTCTTTTGCAAACTACAAAATGGCGTCGCGGAGTTACGTGTATTTCTAATTTTGAAATATCATTTTAGGCAATTTTTTGCTGGAAATACGAAGTAATCCATCAGATGTGCTTAAAAAATCTCCGTAAGATGGCGTTAAAACAAATATTTTGATTTTTTTGGTGATACGAATTCTGATAATTAGGCCGACGATTGGTCAAATCAAGATTATTCTTTGCAAATAGGAACAAAATTACTGCAGTTGCATTTAATCATTAAATAAAGTTTAATTCTACATAAAAATTCTATCAAATCTGATTCAATATTCTGGGAACCTTATCGGTTTCCAACATTAATAAATAAATTTCGGTCTTGATATGAATGATCTTTTTCTAAAGGTTTGACTATCCACCAACTCCTTGAAAAAGCAATTCTAATGATAATAATAATAATTTATTTCAATAAATGAATCGCTCCTAGAAGCCTGTGAATGCCCCAGGAGGCTTCTGCGCTTCTGGAAGGAGCTTGGCTCACCTAGCTAACCAATCCTCGACGCATAAAGAACCACTCTTGAGTCTAAATGCGGAAACCGAAGCCCACAACAAATACCAATTCCATAAATGATACATGAACTTTATATTGGTGTTCTTAAAATTGTTGCAAAAGTTTGCAAAAAATCTGTATTATTTTTGACTTAGCATTGTGTACTCGAGTATTTTTTGTAATATATGTGAATTGGTTATTGCAACATCAATAAAAAAGAAAAATATTCTTTTCCACCATTTGCAACTTTTTCTGCCCATGGCATACGTTTTGTATATTTGCTATAACCTACTGACACCTGACCATTTACTGTTATCACTTGCCAATATGGTCGAATGTACTTTTCAAAGCATTAAACTGTTTTTGTTGCAAAGGCCGAGACCTTGCCTGTTGAATAAAACATAAACAAAGGTTTTACCCAAGTTTTCACTTAAACAAATGTTTTTTAATATTATTTGACTAAGACATTGAGAATATTTGTGTTTAGGTATTTTTTGTCTTTTATAAAGGGCTTTGGGTCATTAAGGCATAAGTTAGTTGTATAAATAAAAAAAAACATTTAAAAAAATTATATAATTTAGTGTAATGTCATAAATTAAGTACCAAACATAAACATATTTATTTATTTTTATCAACACAATAATAAATAGTCACGACTACACACAGTCAACAATCTGTTTTTTAATGTTTTTTCATGAGAAACTTTAAATCTAAATAATTTATTTTAACAAACTTAAAACTTCTTAATATCTGTATCTAATTGAGATCTTTCTTTGCAAATAGAAGCAATATTATTGCACCTAACCTAACCTAACCTAACATAACATATGATTAATTACAATTTTGCATAAAATATGTCTTTAATTAAATCTTAATATGTTTATTATCAAAACAATTCTACATTAGTCAAATCAAGATCATTCTATGCAAATAGGAACAAAATTACTGCAGTTGCATTAAATCATTAAATAAAGTTTAATTCTACATAAAAATTCAATATTCTGGGAACCTTATCGGTTTCCAACATTAATTATTATTATATTTCGGTCTTGATATGAATGATCTTTTTCTAAAGGTTTGACTATCCACCAACTCACTTGAAAAAGCAATTCTAATAATAATAATAATAATTTATTTCCATAAATGAATCGCTTCTAGAAGCCTGTGAACGCCCCAGGAGGCTTCTGCGCTTCTGGAAGGAGCTTGGCTGGCTCACCTAGCTAACCAATCCTCGACGCATAAAGAACCACTCTTGAGTCTAAATGCTGCAACCGAAGCCCACAACCAATACCAATTCCATAAATGATACATGAACTTTATATTGGTGTTCTTAAAATTGTTGCAAAAGTTTGCAAAAAATCTGTATTATTTTTGACTTAGCATTGTGTACTCGAGTATTTTTTGTAATATATGTGAATTGTTTATTGCAACATCAATAAAAAAGAAAAATATTATTTTCCACCATTTGCAACTTTTTCTGCCCATGGCATACGTTTTGTATATTTGCTATAACCTACTGACACCTGACCATTTACTGTTATCACTTGCCAATATGGTCGAATGTACTTTTCAAAGCATTAAACTGTTTTTGTTGCAAAGGCCGAGACCTTGCCTGTTGAATAAAACATAAACAAAACTCCGGTAAAATTATGGTGATGTATGCTATCTCGACCTGAATGCAGATCTACTCAACAAATTTGATCGACTTCTCAATAATTGTATTCGATTCATCTTCAACCTCCGCAAGTATGACCATGTGTCTGCCTATCGATCCCAGCTGTCATGGTTACCTATACGTCAGCGCCGTAGCTTGCGCGCCTTGACTACCCTTTATTCTCTTCTTAATAATCCTACAGCTCCCACTTATCTCACTTCACAGCTTAAACCGCTATGCTCCAACCATGACAGAGATCTTCGGTCCACTAATAATCATTTACTCTTGAATCCAATCCACACTTCTTCTCTTGTTCATTCTTCATTTGCTGTCCAGTCTATCCTACTATGGAATGCGCTCCCGCTTGAGATCAGGATGTCAGGAAGTCGTGACACGTTCAAAGCTAAAGTCCGCGAATTGTACAGGAAACAGCTAGCAGAAATATCCTCATGATATCGTCACCCAAACTTTATTGTATTTATTATATTCCGTATGTATAATATATTAATAGTTATCTATGTATTCGTCTATCTTTTTCAAATAGTATTATCAAATTAATGTTATATTTTCATAGCTTCTCTTCTTATTACATAATATATGTGCACCTGCCATGCCCCTTACTGAACCATCTTAAGGTTGACTGGTAGATAATGCCATGTGGCATTAAGTCCGCCTCGTGCAAACTGTAATGCAGGAAGTGTAAAAATAAATAAAAATAAATAAATAAAACTCCTTATGTTACCCGATCCGGCAGGCGTGTTAGATTTAAAACTTTCGACTGTTTTTTTTTTTGTTTTTGGTGATTCTTTTGTAATATCGCTCATTCACAAGAATGACGTCACAACTAAAAATGAATAACTTTTGGGAATCAAGGTTTTAAACTTTGTGATTTAAATTAAAAAATATATATTCATTACAAGACTGTAATTCTAAATTTATTTTATTCGGCACATATTTGCATTTTGGAAAAGTGTTATTTCTGAGTAAAACTTATTTAATTTTATTATATTTTTTGTGTTATAAGATATGAGCTTAGCCATTGTTCTATATTGCCCCGCATCCACGAGAATCCCGCGGTAATTGCTATATTGCGACATTCCTCGAATCCGTGCTGTACATTTATTCAACCAATTCAATAAATTGAATTGAAAATAACTTTTGAAACAAATATTATATTCTTACTAAATTCTATTATTACTTAGTAACGGTAAAATAAATAATATAAGTAAAAAAAAACTAACCTGGGTGTTTGAATTTCAAATGATTCTGCAAAGCCGTTGTTCCTGCTTTTTTTGCTGCTCTACTTATTTTTACACCACACAAAACACATTTTGCACTGTTCTCTAACTCTTCCTCTTCAATATGTATCCAAACATGAGATTTTTTTTCCATCAAGTCTTTAATTCAATAGCAATTTTCAAATAAGTATAGAAATAAAATCACGACAACCGATGTCTAAAATCAAATAACAAATGCGTGCCGCCTATCCTAAACACAAGCGTATTGATTGAGCGGGAAATCCCCTATAATAATAAACGCTGGGTTTTACAAAACGGGGTATTCCCCGTAAACTATGAAAAGGGTTGCCAGCATTTAAAAGTGGAAAATTAAATTTACTACATATATGTAAATATGTATAACACGAAACAGATTTCTTTAACTTTATTGTTTTTTTTTCTCACAACCTTAGAAGAAATTAGAAATATTTTTAATGTGTTTTTTATGTCTAATAGTGATGTCGAGTTATTCGACTATTCGCCAAAGTGAATGGCGATTAATCGGTATTCGACTATTCGCTATAACCACTATTCGCGGCAACTCTAGTTAAAATGCTCAAAGGGCGTATGCGTCAATTTGCAACTTAGAGGCCGATTTTGGCGGGTGTCTTCGTAAAATAGGAAAATAAGGGTGGTTTTGGCACAAATTTTAGTTAAAAATGATTTTCGTCATTTGTGATTTGAGGCCCTTTCGTTTAAAAGCAGCGAGATCACGCGTCACATTTTCTTTAGTTGCGAGCAGTCTTCCGAACATCTCATATTCATCATCTTTCTTGTCTTTCATGAATTCAATAGCTTCGTCCATTTGACGTCGCGCTGCTTTGATTTTTTTTTAAATCGCCTTACATGTGTGTTACTCTTGTCAGTATTCGCTTTGAGTATGACGAATGCATTGATGCCGGATATATTGAGAAGATGATAAAATACTGCCAGTGGCCATCTTTCTAAAGAGAGGCCTATGTCCAGCAGTGGACTATTAAAGGCTGTTGATGATCATGATGATGATAATAGCCATCTTTTAGTGGTCTGCTCGCAACTGAGTTGCGTAACGTCCGGGGAAGTAGGAAGCTAGAAAGAGCTCTGTCGCGTTTTAAACACTCGTAACATATTTTTTTTTGACTAGAAATTGTCTTGACCCCATGCGCTTAATTAAGGGTTAATATATTGTTTAATTAAAGCTCTGTTTTTTATTATTTATATAATCAACATTCATCATAAATATCACTTAAACAAATTATAATTTAAAATAACATGTAAACAATCAACAAAATAAAAACAAAGAGACAAATAAAATAAATTGGATTAGACAAAGGTATCAAACGAGCTAGTCTTGCAGGAAGTAGCAGTATTTTACGAAAAATACAACCATAACAATAACATAAACCTATAACAAAGTTGATACTTTACTATTGTTTAATGTTATTGCTATGACTTGAATCATGTATTGAAGTAATTGCTGATGCTAAGAAAACAGAAAAGATCTCAGCAGCACTAAATCTAGAATTTACTAAGTCCTGAAATCTACTCTCAAACGACTATAATAAATATCTTCTCTTTCTAATCTTTGAGTGTGGGAAAAAGGTAAATATTTTCTCTGGCTAAATTAAATAAAAACAGATTTAATTTAGCTTTGAATCCGCTTATCAAATTAAACATGGTCGGAAGTAAACAATCTTTGCCTTTCAAAATATTGAAATAATTCGTAACGTCAACAAGAAAGTCAAGATCACTCACCTAGGATGTATTCTTCAATAATTCATTTTCCAAAGGTAAAGCCACTTTTCCTCTGAAAAATATACCACCTGGTGAAGAAGAAGAAGTTTCAACATATTACCCCTTGAAAGCCAACGCATTGCGCAGTATAATTGTAAATCTCCATATTCGCTGATTTCTTATTCAAATAAAACTCTGCATTATGCAACGTACTACTGGATCCATATTATATCTAAATGCATATCCTTTGCTCACAAGGCTTGCTGGTTAATAACGCAATGATACGAAAATAGTGTTCAATCTAAGAAATTCTGTAACACAGCTACCCAACCATTGTGTTCCCCAGTCATTGCAGGTGCAATAGTTCAGTTTAAATAGATATCATTTTAACCCATAATAAACCTTTTTCTTTGATGCATTTCTTGCTTGCTTCTTCAAAGCTTCGTTAATATTTTCTCCATCAGAGTAAGGTTACTTTTTTCAAAGCAACTAAATCTCTGAAGATGTTTTCGTCATGCATTGCAAATGCAAGCTCGTGTTTTTTAACGAAGATATTTTTTTGATTGAATAATTCTCTTTTTTTTAATCTTCTCTGATAATATATAATGCCTTTCTAAATTATTATTTTTTGCAACAGCTACTGTAGTGAAGCGAATTAAACAAGGTTTATGCGCCTTGCTTTCAGTAAAACAGAATTTATTTTCCCACTCACTATGAAAAATACGGTAGCACTCTGTCGATTTCGCCGTAGTTGGTTTGTTGAGAGCCTGAAACAAAAAACATTTTAGGAAGGCTTAAGCGCACTTAACAACAATCAAATGAGGAACAAACCTTCCAACGCCAATATAAACACTTGTTTTAACAAAAACTGACTAGCTGTGTTTGGTCCATTTCAAGATTACAAGTTAAACAATGTTTAAGGAAGATAATTAAAAATTAGAAACGTAATACATACGCTAACTCTATTGTTTCTCGGAGCATAATGAAATAAGAGCGAAATAGTTAACGGGGAACGAGCGAGCGGGCGGGCGGGGAAGTCAATACAGAGATGGCGTTAGCGCAGGTCCCTAAAATTCACCTGCGGTGGCTAGCGCGGGCCATTTAAAATTCGTCTGCGGGCCGTAATGTGGCCCGCGGGCCTGAGGTTGAGCAGCCTTGCACTAGACCAACAGGCCCCGACCAACAGTGTATGTGAGTTATAACCAATACATACGTTCTCCAGGAAGTTTGTGGTAACCGGACAGTATCAGTATTCCAATGAAAACCTTTAGCTCTCCTGCACTGACATAGGACTTGTGTCGATTATTTTGACTCGGGTACAAGTTACTAAAATTGACCATCATGTCAAATACTTCATCATCAAAAAACAGTTCGAATATTTGAACAGGTGTAAGATCTTTCACTGCCTCTTTCATGCGACTTTCATTTAGTATTCGGTTATCAGATTCTATGTAGGTTTTCGTATAATTTGGATTACACTTACGCCAGACAGGAGTGTTCGATGTTGATGAACTTGGGCTGGTCGAAAGGTCATCAGCTGCTTGAGGTACAGTGGATCGGATTCGAGCCCTCTTGGTGGCTAATGGCTCATCATCGCTGCTATCGGAAAGAACACCCTTATCGCGAACGAACACCTCTATATTTCCGGGAACATCATTTTGCAAGTTACGTAATACATTGTCATCATCAAAAACTTCTTCTTCGTCGGTGACAACACTGGGTTCTGGTTGAATTATGGCTAAGTCATACTCTAAAACGTCTTTACTGTTTTCTTCGATAGAATTTACGGCCTCTTCCAAGCTCTTGTAGTCTATACTAGCGCTAAATCTTCGTCTCACGACTCATTTCCAAAATCTGGAACATCAAAAATAAACTAATTACACTTGGGGCCACTGTACCCAAATTGGCACAGCAATGTTTCGGATATGACAAAAGCTTACATTTTTATAATATGTTAAGTACTGCAAAATATTGTTAATCATTCATTATTTATTAGCTTCATAGAATAGAAAGTACATAATATGATGTTTATTGTATCTAATTATTATAATAATTAAAAAATACTGTACATACCTCCACGTGTGTCCTGATTAGAACTTTTAAAAAACTCCACTAATTATAACAATTTTTTATATTGTACATTCATTCACTGCACTTTTAACTATTCAAAACGGTAAGTGTATTTCAACTGGTATAAAAACTTTTCGTTTCTACCCTCAATTATTAAGTGTTCCCAAATTGTCACAGCAACCAAGAATGGGTTAATACAACAAAGGAACATACCAATAACTCCGGCACAGTCCGTTTGGAACTATGGTATAACTAACTCTTATAAGGCTCACTCCTGGTCTCCACGTGGCTCGTCGCGTGGCGGGGTAAGTAATCCAATCTTCCTGGTTCCGGTCCCAAGCGAATCCTAATAATGGGCTACAGTCAGAGGACTTTTCCTGCCATTAGAGGTACTTAGGAAAGGAAATCCACTCTCCGAAGCAAACTAAATCCTTGGATCGGGCAGCTAGTGAGGTAAAAAACTAATTGTAACGTAAGGACATTACAATCTAATAAGAAGAAAACCAGAAACAAAAAAAAACAAAGATAAAAACCCTGTTTGGCACAGGGTTCTAAAACGTCTCACAAATAAATCGGAGGCATTACTAATAATTCCAAAAAGGTAAAATAACATTTCCAATAAACAATTCGTTTCCTTAACAAGACTGGCCAACAATAAAAGGTGAATTAATCCTCTGATTACAACAAATGGAAACGGATTTCATTTCCAACTTTTCAAAAATCACAACATGATTCCCTGATCACCTCGTCCAAGAGAATGAAAGAGTGACTAAAAAATGTTGTCAGATCAAAAGTTCAGCTTCGCCCAGGAATGCGACAAAAAATGTTGCCAGAGCAAAGAGTGCAAACAAACTCATTCGAATGAATACTTCCATAGACCGGATCAATAACACAGTCAATCAAAATAGTCTTAAAAAAATCTCGACTGTGACGCCATCTCTCCGAGCCTTACTGAAACGTCAGAAACTTCAACTGTCAAACTAAAAACACGTCGATAATTAACTTTTCTGTAATGGTGCGAAATGCACCGTTACACTATAATGACTTGATATAGGTGGTTCTATCAATGATCCTGTGTTTATTGTGCCTTCGAGATTTCGAGTAGTGTTTTTTTGGACTTCTTTGCAGGGAGTTTTAGGGTCTTCATTTAGGGGTAAATATTGGAACGGAAAATCCAAAGTTGTAGCTTGTGATGTGGATGGCATTGTCAATGGATCGCTACTCGGGACTGTATTAAGCGGTGGTAATATTTCAGTTGTACTGCCTTGTCCTGATGTAGAATTATTCAAGGTAGAGAGATTTTCAGTTGGTGGTAAGACTTCTTTAGTTTTTGTGAGTAGGTCTTCAATCTTTATATAAAATTGAAACAATCCAATGTTTTCGTCAATTTTTTCTGAAGCAATATCTTTGTCCAGGAATTTTAAGGCCCATTTCCAGTTCTTTAATTTTCGCCATTTTTTGTAATGCCATTAATTCATCTGTTGGTTGTTCTGATGCACAGCACACTTCATAAGGATTCCAGGGTGAAACATATCAGGTGATAATGTTTCTTTAAGTACTTTGTTTAGCAAAGGACACAAATTAACTTTTCTCAAAATGCAATGTGTTCTAAACGCCAAGACTGCACAGTAGTTTTCCAGGCGCCCTTTAAGTTTCTGAAAATAGCGACCTCCATGGGCTGTAAGAGATGAGTGGCATTAGGAAAGAGAGCAATTAGGATTATCCCATTCTCCGAACAAAACTTGCTCATATGGAATGACATGTGTGATGTGTGCCCATCCATAAAAAGTATGACTGGTTTTTGATCATTCAACCATTTATCAAATATATTGCAGATATATTCATAAAATGTCTCCATCGTCATCCAACCACTGTCGGACCGTCCAATACCCCAAGTTACAGGAATAGACAAGTTTTATTCTCTTGATATTCTTAAATACTTAACCCTAGATTCATAATCATATCTAAGAGGAACATAATTCATAAACATTCGTCTCACAGATGACTATATTTAAATGACGGGTTTATCAGTACTTGTAAATAAAACAAAAGAAATTAAGTATGGTACTGTTTAATATGTTTAATTGGGTTATAAAAAAGTAATGAATTAATCAAAATCAAAGTTCATCGGCACATTCCACATATATGAGGCCGCGATGGTCCATACACATAAACTTTTTACATGACTTGCATTGGAACCTTGTCATACGACGTTTTTTATAAACACAATGACCACAAATCTTTTTTTGGGTCCCACTCGGACCAGGTGTATCAATGGTAGGCGTTTCACCGAAAACTTCGGCGATTTTCCTTTTTAGGCATCTCTTCAAAGTTGGCATTTCGCGCCTTTTGCGTAACCACGGTTCGGTCAACTTTCCTGAAATATTCTTTACAAAACATCGTCTGCTTGTTGGTTTTCGCCCTTGTTTTATTCTATTGTGTACGTTAATTACGTATTTTAAATTTATTAATTAATTAATAATTAATTAAATTAAAAATAATTAATTATTTTAATTTTAAGTTTATTATTGCCATATTGAGTATACCGTAAAAGTGCGTTTTTCTGCTACAAGACATACTGCCACACATTTGGTCAAACGTACGAGTATCTACCGCACCTTTGGTTGAATTGTAAAACTTGATAATGTCTGGCTCACCAGAAGTAGCAAGAGTACCGTCTCTATGCGTGGTATAAAGCAAGAGAACGTTCTTATTATTTTTAGGCTTGTAAGATACTAACGTACATTCTCTGTCGTAGCAAAACATGGATGAACCTATAGGCCTATATATATATCTTTGATTTGAAGCAACTCAGGCGGTATTTCTCGTTTATTTGCTCGAAGCGTACCTACTATTGTAAGTTTATATGGTGATTTTAGTAACCGTTGGGCCAAAGGGACAGAAGTAAACCAATTGTCCATTGTGATGTTACGGTTGCGGCCCCACAAACCTTCAGTCAAAGTCTTAACATAGAAAGATCCGAGTGAATCACCATTTGTTTCAGTTTGTCCAAGATATGGCCTAGCGTTTAGCATATAATTTGTTTTGGCATCACAAAGCATTAAAATTTTTAAGCCATATTTATTAGGTTTTATCCTAAATTTACAACGCCCTCTGAAACTCAATAGTTGCTCGTCTATCGTAATATAACTTCCTGCTTTATAGCTATCCCTGCATATCTGAATAAACACTCCCCACAAGTCTCTAATAGGCGCGAATTTATCTTGAGCTTTGCGTTCATTTCTGGTTGATTTATCATCAAACCGCAAGCAGTTTAGCAAAAAGTCAAATCTCTCACGCGACATCACTGATATATAGCGAGATCCACTAAATGTAGGATCAAACAGTTCTAAGCTCGTGAGATGATTATCTTTTTTGCAGCTGATAGTAAAAGCAATCCAAGCAAAGCAATGAGTTCTTCTTCGCATGTCAGAGTAATAGTAGCAGTACCTACTCTCTTTATATTTCGAACTTCTCAACTCTATTTCTTCATTAGTATGTGTAAGTATGTTACGAATTAAATCAGCTGTTATAAAAAAAGAAAAGCAACCAACTGGCTCTATAATGTCCTTTGCGTTATTAGCTGTTCCTTAAATTATATGCACGATATTTCTAGCTGGAGTTCTAGTATTCAAAGATTCAAAAGGTTTTGAGGACCATTTGTGACCATTTTTTCCTCTAAGATTATGAGTTGATGAAATAATTATACGTCGTGAAGGTGTAGAATGGAAAGATGTGCCTGATGTTTCTTCATTCTCTGAATCGGAAGATAAAATGATACCGCTTCGGCGCTGCATTTGCCGTATTCCAATTGGTTGGTCGTCGTCATCAATGTCTGAATCTGTCGGGATCGTCTCCTGTAATTCCACGTGATCTTCGACATCACTCAAGTCCTCATCTCTTTGCTGACTGGTAAAACCATCATCATCAGAATCGGATAAACAATTCAGATAATCCTCAATTTGTAGATCCTTCATTTTAAAATAAAATTAGACGAATTGAATATTTTACACGTAATTATACACTTTGAAAAATAACGTAATATTTAACTAAATATAATAACTTATGTACATAAGTTATTATATTTAGTTATATATAGTCTTTTTTTTATTTCTATGTCTATCAAAATATTGTCATTTAATAAGAGATCATCATCAATTTCCATAAGAAAATTATTGTCTTCAGATTTTTCAAAAAATATATTATTTATTGATTGGAAGACAGTGCATGAGTCTTGCTCACAGTTTGACCCTGGGGAGTGATTGGCACTTAAATTATTTATAAGCAAAGAGGAAAAGGCGGCTTCAAAGCCAGCACATGAGGGTGTTATATTTCTGTACCCATGGCTTCGAATGCTACCAAAAAAATTTTCTAATGGGTCTTGGTTGAAGTGCCTCATCCACAGAGATGCCAAATCATATTGAGTAAATATTTTTTGAACTAAATATTCTATATTTTCAATACTTTGCAGCCAATTAGTTATTGAAGGTACGACAGTGTATCCATTACTGGTAACAAACTTCATTGTTTTTAATACTTCTTTTGCTTCTCGCCATATTTTATGATGTCCAGAAGATGGGGTAACTGGTCCAAGCAATGGTTTGCCAGACCTCTTTTTTGAATTTTTGTGACTCCCATTTAAAGAGTCGAACAAATTGTCAAGAAATAAAAATAAATCAGCTGTTTCTTTACAGTCCTTTGAAATTATTCCTTTACCTGGAAAAGGACAAAAATAACGTTTATGAAAATTAAGCATAAATATATGAATTTTATTTTATAATAATCATATTATGTGATTACATCAGAAAATTCTAAAATACAAGCGTATTTCATTGTAGAAGGATAGACATACAACTGTTACTGTTATTTAATTTTATCTTGCTGCTGAATAAAAATATATTTTTTAAAACAAGGTTTTATTTAAATGCTTGTATTTTGTAAGAGTTTTTACAAGCCTGGCCTCTGACATGGCTTGTCGCAATCTTAACGATAGCAACTGGGACCAACGGCTTAACGTGTCGTCCGAAGGACTTGTTCCGCCGGGAATCGAACCCGGGACCCTTCGTGTATTGGGCACTTTCAAGTCCATAGCAGAAGCAACTACACCTCAGAGGTCGTCCTTGCCTTGTCGTCCGTGTTTGCCTTAGGTTTGATGTAATTAAAAGTTTTTTTTCTTTTTTTCTAATTGCAAGATTCCACCCGAACATACATAGTTACATACATACATTGCAAGTTAAATCAAAACATGTAATAAAACCAATGCAGAGCTCATCACATGCTACACCTGTCGACTGCACAAGTAAATTAAAAATAATGTTTGATAACTTACTTGCCAAATATCCCATGTTGACTGATACAGATTGGCTAAAAAGCTGAGATGCACATTTAACTTTCATTTTGGCTATCTTCTCAGGCACAACATGTTTGTCAGTTAATTTTGGCATTAACCTTATACCCTGGTAAGCTGGGTCTTCTTTGTACAACTGGAAAACATGCTCCCATTTTGCAGTTTTTTCTTCACCACCTATCTTCCATTTTAAGTTCTTTGTAAGTAAATTATTACGAATCCCCTTTAGAAGACGTGGGGTATCATATATGGGGATAATTTCTTCATCATCAATTTCGAACACCTTATTTCTTTGTTCTATATTATTTTTTAAATATTTTTCTTTTGTTTGTTGAATTAGATAATTAAGCGCACTGACATTTGCACAGCCCTGGTCACAAATGGTCCCCATAACCTTAAATCCTGCTGAGTTCAATTTTCTTATAATATTTTTTATTTGAGCTGCTAGCTCAGCCTTGGATGTACCACCAGCGCAAAAAGTATACGCAACAGCTTGTTTGTAATTATAATATATGCATCTAATCATGAATACCAAAGCATGGTCAGCTATTTTATTGTGCGTGACTTCTCCATTGTCGACAAAACCAATAATTGCATCTCGTTTTCGGTTATAATCAAAATGGGGCATCAATGAAATTTCGTCAAATAAGAGCAAACAAAGCTTTTGTTTTGTGTTCATCTTTTCAGCTCTAGTCTTAAGTTCTTTAAAAATATTTTCATTTATTCCAGCTTTCAATGATGCTGTGGAGATCATTCTACTGAGTGTTAGGGGGGATGGTAATATAAAAATATTTCTGAGCCATCTGTATGCTCTTGGTCCCTGTTTATACAGAGCTAATGCTAAAACCTTTTCTTCTTTCTTAAATCTCCTACCCATTTTTAATTTTTTGCTTTCACGAAACTGCATCATCATGAATAATAAACCAGCTGCAGTAAATTTGCTTACTGCCTTTTGGAATGTTGCATTTTCGGATAATTTCAAAGCCTTTTTCAACCTTGTCGCCATGGAGTTCTTGGACAGTTGGAGCTTGTGCAATTTCTTTTGAAGCCAAGATGCTTCATTTGAGTACCTCTCAGATAAAGGCAGATTTTTTGCACCTGTAAGGTAAAAATAAAAATAAGCTATACAATATACTTCCAAGATATTCAAGTGATGCCATAAATAATGATTATTCCAAATACTCTTTGGCATAGTCATTATTTCACAAATCCCAAACATTATAAATATGGTTATTCTTAATACTTATGACTTTCATTTATTATTTTAACACAACCTCTAAAGACAAATATAAACATACAATAACCATAATTTACTTTATCAATGATCTTCTTCTTCATCGTCTGGCTGGTTAGGCCTGGAGCCAGTGTTTACAAGCTGCCTTTCTGGCCTCTGACATGGCTTGTCGCAATCTTTAATATAGCAACTAGGACCGATGGCTTAACGTGCCTTCCGAAGCACGACCAGACCGAAACAAAAAGCACAAATACTTGTTCCGCCGGGAATCGAACCCGGGACCTTTCGTGTATGGGGCGCTCAAGCTTTCTTGCTTTTTCGTTAAAATGTTAAAAAATATTGTTAAGATTCATAATTTAGTGACTAATTTGCTGAAAATAAAGACGTGTTTAGTAAACTACACGATAATACAATTTCTTTCATCCTACTAATATTATAAACGCGAAAGTTTGTAAGTATGGATGTTTGTTACTCTTTCACGCAAAAACTACTGAACGGATTTGGATGAAACTTTACAGTAATATAGCTTATACGTCAGAATAACACATAGGCTACTATTTGGCGCGATCACCGACATATACGCGGGCGGAGCCGCGGGCAACCACTAGTTAAATATATTTAAACATGAGTTTTCATGTAAAATGTAGGTAGGTGGGCCGATTTTTGTAATGACCAGTGTATTTTAGGTATCTATTTATGTTTTAGGTTAGTAAAACCGAGGTTATACTAAAAATGAACTAGGCAAATCTGTTTTGTAAAATTTGAAGTGAGAGATAATCCTACTAATAAGGTTACTTTTAATCTTACCTTTCAACACAGGAGAATCTGTTGATTTGTTCTCCACTTTTTCAATGCTGGCTTTTGAGGTAGACTGAACTAGTTCCATACTTTCACTATTAAATTTAGAGGTTGATGGAAATCCTGAAATAATGATTATTACTTTTAAATTATCATTCATGACATTTGTTAATTTCTCTAGCTATTTGCTAAGTTGTATATAGATGTATTTTGATTTTGAATGAAAGTTAATAAAGTTTAATGAAATTATTTTAAAACTGATGTACAAATAACCCTGTATGATACAAATGGATAGAACAAGGGACAAAAAGGTAAAAGTGCTAGTTAATAAATGGCATTAATATCAGCATAAGATGTAAAATAAACTTAATATTACCATCAAGCACAGGTTGCTTAGTTGATGTCTTATCATTGTTCGCTTTAGAGGTAGATTGATGATCGGTTTCAACATTTTCCAAATTGCAGATAGTATTGGTGATATTTTTCAAAGGAAGGCTCTTAGAGATTGAAAACCCTGTAAATATGTTATACATTTTAGGAAATGAATGGTGATCATATTTTTATTTCAACAAAAAACTTGAAGTCTAAACTACATTTAACTATAATTATATATTATATACGTTTAAAGCATCTTTCTCCTCATGTTGCGGTTCTGCTGCTTCGTATGTGTTTCGCGGTTCCTAAAATCACGTACTTATTGCGGACTACTCCAACCTGGCTTTGTCCGGAGGCTGTCTCTTTGTTCGACGGTGCTTTAAGAGATACTGCTGAGTCGATCCTTAACGTCTCCCTTGATGAGCACCAGTGGATCCAGGCAGCTCTGCCAATAAGATATGGGGGTCTCGGATTACGGCGTGTGCTGGATGTTGGCTTGCCAGCCTTCCTAGCGTCGGCACATGGGGTTGCGGACCTTGTCGCTGTCACACTTTCTCCAAATGGTGATAGGGCGAGCATACCTTATGTGTCCGAGGCGGTATCGGCATGGTCAGCCGTCAACGCAGGTGAGCCATTTCCAGTGACCCTACACGTCCAGCGAGCATGGGATAACATTGGAGCTAAGGGACTCCTTAAACAAATGTTGGATACCGCTAGGGGTACCGATCTGGCAAGACTGAGGGCCGTATCGCAACCAGTCAGGGGCATGGTTACATGCACTCCCATCGCCTCACTTGGGTACCTTGCTAGACGGCGACTCTTTGCGTGTGGCAGTGGCTCTCCGCCTAGGCTGCAGGGTGTGCGAACCACATAGATGCACCTGCGGTGCCATGGTGGAGGCCGATGGTCTTCACGCACTGAGTTGTCGTCGCTGCGCAGGTAGATTTTCGCGACACCATGCCTTAAATGACATAGTCCGAAGGGCTCTTATATCCGCCAATGTACCCTGCGTGCTGGAGCCATCGGGTCTTAGCAGATCTGACGGGAAGCGGCCCGATGGCTTGACTTTGGTACCGTGGAAAAACGGCAAGTGCTTGGTATGGGACGCTACATGCGTTAGCACAGTCGCGGCCTCACATCTGAGTCGCACCGTCCAAGCCCCGGCGGCGGCGGCGGCGGAGGATGCCGCTAGTAGGAAGCAATCAAAATACGCCGCAATGGAGACGCACTATTATTTTGTGCCTATTGCGGTGGAGACTTTGGGCAGTTGGGGGTCGGCAGCTAAAAAGTTAATTGCGGAGATTGGTCGCCGAGTTAGGGAAAAAAGTGGTGACTCCCGCTCCGGCTCGTTTCTGGTGCAAAGAATGTCCGTTGCAATTCAGCGAGGCAATGCTGCCAGTATCATGGGCACCTTTGCACCGGGAGCGACGCGGGGCGGGTTATATGATCTGACTTGAATAAAAAATAATAATAAATGTATGGGAAGGTGTTATACCTGTGGACATTTGCCGGATTTTGAATGAAAATATGGTTTAATAATTTAATTTTTATTTATTAGCCGTAAAGTATTACAAATGTTGTTCCAGGATTAGTTAACACTTAAAAATTAGCAGTCTTTAGTTTTGTACGAATTATGTTGATTAAAATAAACCAGTTTTTTTTAAATCACTAAATTTGTCCACAGGTACATCTTATGATTGTACCTCTGGACAGAAATACTTGTACCTATGGACGGCAATGTACCTATGGACAGATCACTTATCCTTACATAATAATCCTATAAAAATCAGCAAAAATAAATAGAATATCTTTATAAATCAACTTTAACATTAAAGAATCAATTATTCTTTTTGGTTTTGGCATCTAAATAATTTTGATATAGTTCTAAGGCAGAATCATCAGAGGCATCTGAATCACCATCATCTAAAATATAACACTTTTGATATAAGAAGTCTGACTCATCATCTGATTCAAAATTATCTAAATGTGATCTTGATACACATTTCTGGTGATATTTCAAATCGCATTGAGAGCAATTGAGCAGTTTGTAAACATTTTCATGTCTTTTACATCCCATACACATGGCTTAGGGTAACTGGTCATCTTGAAGAATTGTGACCCTTTTTTCTGCAGATTGAATTTTTATTTTTATCTAAATATTCTGCAAGCTGTTTTTCTTCTTCCTCATCAAATACTTTCTTCACGTCATTTCTCAAAATAACTACCCTGTTCTCGCTCAGATCATTCTCCTTATTCATGTGAAGGTATTTAAATATCGTAGATTTTGGTATTTTATATTTTTCTGCAACTTTTCGCAATGAACATCCACTAATTGCCTCTTTAATTGCCTCACATAACGTCTCTGAACACAACCTACGGCGCGTTTTTCCGTTGAGACACTGAAAAATGAAAAAAAATTTGTACCTGTGGACAGTCCATAGGTACATACACTTCGATGTCCACAGGTACAAATCAGACAATACAATCTAAAAATCTATTACCGGCATGATAGGTACTAGTTTACACCGTTATACCGATGTAAATGGATTGTTAACTACATGTACTACAGTATGACTAAAAATAATCATCTATATTCTGCATATGTTCACAAAAAAATAGGACGAAAAAGAGACAAATACTTACTTTTTTGAGCGAAAACCCTTAACGGTCTGTCACCGGTCACACAACAAAAGATACAAAATGGCAGCAAGTCAACGTTGCCACACATCAAAAATACTTTACGGATGCGTTCAATTCGTTAAATTTCTGTGTTTATTTTTTGAAATATCAATGATGTCCACAGGTAAAACCGTTCATAGGTACAACACGTTCCCCTAACTTAAATGTATGTATTAGATTAAAATTATATATTTAAATTTAAATCGTATAAATCAATTTACTACCACTCTTTCTACCGCATTTCTTCATTTTTATTTAAACATTACATCCTCAAGTAATTATACATTTTATGCATGAATTGAAACGCACTGAAAAAAGGTATTCTTGCATTTTTTTGTTACAGCACCATCTATTGCTGTGTACATAAACTAACGCTTCATATAATACGACTAAATTGGAAATAGCTATTAAAGTATAAGTGCGCGACAAATTTAAAGTATTTTTTTAGCGGTCGCATAATAATCTGCCTCATTTCTTTTGAGTTTTATCACCGTGGGTGCGAAATGCAACGTTACAATAAGTAAAACTATATAATATTATTATAATGGTTTATTTAATATTATACACTGTTAGTTCATGTTTCTGAGGAATTTTCGAAAGCAATTTCGCTCACTAGTAACACAGATGTATTTCACATTTCAGACAGATTCTTTCCTTTGCATCCGGGCTTTTTACATCTTGTAGCTTCTTTCTTTTGATCATATTCTGGCCGACAGATGGTCGACATGTCGACATGATGTCGTTTTAGTGTAACTGGTAAATTTACTAGACTGCTACCACCAGATGCAGGCCGTCGTCTTTTTTTGCTAGAAATTGGCTGCCCCATTTTTAGTAGAGCCTCTGCAACACGCTGCCGAAAGTGCAACAAATCTAAAATGTCTTTACTTGGTATATTCCAGGTCTTTCAATCTTCTTGGTGTTCTAGCCAGCTATTGGTTAGTGCTAGGTCAATGGCTTCAAATATCATCCGCAATGTCCATTTTTTGGATCTAATGAAGAAAACTAATCAGATGATCAGTTTTGTCTACACCACCCATACCATTGTTATATAATCGCACAAGTGCAGAACGCGATATACTAGCCCCGAAAGTTGATATTGGGACGGAACCTTGTCACAATAAGCGCTGCGTGACGTCATCCGTCGTACAAAATTACAGTTACAAAAAAAATTGTAATTAAAAGTAAATAGACTAGAGTTATAGGTTTATTACATATTAATATAATAATTTAATAAATACATAATTACATACAATGCAAAGTGTAAACTTAAGGCATTTCAAAGGACCGAGTTTTTTTATTAGGATGAATAAATATGTTTACTATAAAAAAAAATCTCACGAGGCCTGGATCCGCTTTTCTTTTCATCGATATTTTCCGTGAAGCGATTATCATATGACCTCCCCAACCATTACGGTACGGTACCTAAGTATTTCGGTTAGACTAGTTGAACTTTTTAGGGCTCCAACTACTCGTAACAACTGCTATAGATGTCATTTCCGTGCTATTCGCTGTAGATTTATTTACGAATATAAATATTTGATTGAGCGGGAATCGAACCCGCGCCTCCTGTAGTACATCCGAATATGACGCCCCTGGTGTTGCACACGTCCATAGGCCTCAGTAAGCACTTTCTATCAGGTGGGCTATGTGCTTGTCTGCCACATTTCTATTAAAAACCTATTTTAATGAACAACTAATAAAACAAAGGTATTTATGTAAAATCAATGTTTTTATTAATATGATATCTAAGATAATAATATGAGCTAGCCTAAGATTATTCGGCTAGTTCTTCAATTCCACTCATATCTGAATCAGAATCAGTTTCAGAGTCAGTGTTGTCAGATTCACTGTCTGCCGTATTTATAATAAATAACTCGTCAGTTATTCGGTCTCTTCGCCAGTACTCTTCTTCGAGTCTCTTGACATGGTTTATTTCTTTCTTCCACTCATCTGGAGTTATGGACGACAGTGCCTCCAAAGTCAGGGATTCTATCTTACTCTCCAATTGTTCAACATTTTTTTCCGAAACTTTTTGTTTGACTAAGTTCCAAATATATTCTATGGGATTGAGGTCGCAGTTATACGGTGGCAATCTTACTACTTCATGACCATTGTCAGCTAGTTGGTCGATTATATAATTTTTCGGTGGTTTGTGCTGTTTTATTAACATGTATAACTTTGATTTCGTGCAATTATTTGAAAAGTCAATGTTATGAGCTTGCAGCCACTCAACCATCACTTGTTTTCTACAATTCATAGTTGGTGGTTTTTTTTCTTCTTTGGTACGGGGCGTTGTTTATCACAATGATGGAATTAGATGGTATGTTGGGTATAAGTTTTTCAGTGAGCCTCTTGGTAAAATTCTCGGCATTCATCTGATCATGATAGTCCCTGGTTTTTGTATTAGCCTTAAACATCAAGATTGCATTGTTAACAAAACCGGCTTCACTTCCCGCGTGAAGTATAATCCATCGGCGACCGGTTCTATCGTTTCATCTCACTCCCACATCGGTTGCCGTTTGCCAACATTTTTAACCGTATAATGTGCGTGTATCCATGTTTCATCTAAATAGATGAAAGGCCTTTTGTTTACACCGAGTGACTCGTTCTCCTTCATGCGGCGTAAATATCTAGCCCTCCACGCTTGTATTTGGGGTCTCTCTATTAGTAGCAGCCTTTTTTGGTAACATCTTTTAAATTGATACCCTAAATCTGTTTTTATTATTTTTCTTAAGGTAGTTTCACTGCCTGTATAATTAAGATCCAATTTTGCAGCAGCCATAATTATGCGCATTGTTGGTATTTCCTTCCTGACCGTATATATTAGGGTGGAGCGCTGTTGTATGGATTTTTTTTTCCTAGTTTTGAATTCTAATAGGGGGGGAACTAATCCCCCCCCTATTACGTTACGTTGCCTTACGTTAACGTAAAAATAACTGTTCTTTTTAAGTTCTGCCTCCGCTTGGGCCTTGAAATATTAAGATTTTCTGAAAAATCGTAGTATTTTTAGGGTTCAATGTATGGTATATAAAAGGTATATAGGGAGGACAAATGATACTAAATTGTATATTTAAGTGGTACAATTTTTAGTTATAACTAATAAAAACAAGTTTTCAGTCGGCCTTAAAATCTCTTTTTGTCTCAAATTTCGGCATTTTCTTACGGGCTTCCAATTTAGCTTTTATGGCTCCCAATCGTGATGAGTCCTTACACTGGGAAGTGGCAGCTTCTGTCTTCAACTTAACAGATCTTTCAACTGCTTGGGTATGGGCAGGGAAGACGTAAAAACAATAGTTCACCCTCGCCACCAGATTGGATTATTTGTTGAATTTCTTGATCAGTTAGGTGTTTCAAGATCGGAGGTTCGGTAATAGTTTGTTGCCAATTTATCATATCGATGTAATTCGACGCACTAAAGTTAACATCTGTCACTTCAAACAGCCTTGGTGATGGAAGTTGCGACATACTACGTGCTTTTAATACACGCCGGGCTGCCAGTTCACGAATGTGTCTCTTGTCATATGTAATCATTGCAAGTAAGATGTTTTCAGGATGTGCAAAATAGCTATTGCGTTGAATGACAGGATCGATGACCTTTTTTAGATTTTCTGGCTGGTACCTGGAGGTCAATATGATTTTAAAAAGATGCCGAGCCACATCTTTACAAGACGGTTTATTCTTAATGGAGATCCAACATGGGGCGTAAACTTTTGTAACAAATGTAGCCAGGGTTATCTATTTATCTGATGGTTTTTCTGTTGTTACATACAAACATAGTATACGATTAGCACGAGTGAGCCAACGAGCATGAGATAGTCTACCTGGAGACCTATTCGCCAGATCTTTTGGAAAGTCGCCTGATTGTACCGCTGAGACAATATCGTGCAAGTATTTTTGATCTGTACTCAAATCTACAGCCGTTGTTGGAAGCGGTTGTCTTTCGATCGGATGGAATTTTTTAACTGGCAATTGTTCACAAGTTTCGAGTGACTTTCCCAACTGCCCTGTGTAAGACTTGGGTCCCGAAGTGGCTCCGTCGATATGTAAAAACAAGTGTCTCAAAGGAAGTTCGTTCATATGAAGTAAACAAATTACCCACTGGAGAGGTCTTTGCAGGTTTTTTTCCAGGAGGCATATCATTCCGCCATATTTTCCAGTATTAACATTCGTTCCATCACAGCCAATCGCCATAAGATGCTATAGAGAAATGCTTTTCTTGGCCAAAAACCCTGTGATTGCGGTTTCTATTGCCTTTGCTGAACCTGTACTTGGTACTACGTACCCCATATAAATAGAACCTGGCTCCTGAATGAGCGAGATATGCTCTTCAATACACGTAGTTCTATAATGTTTATTACCTTTTTTAACAATTTTTAAAGTTTTGTCTTCCTTTCCGTCAAAGTATAAAGCAGAAAGCTCTGTATTAATGACTTCTTTCACTAATTTCTGTCGGTTTTTAGATCTCCCCCTTCGTAATTTATGTCTATCAATAACCTCAAGATCAGATCCAATATCGTGCAAAACAGATGATGCGATCGCTGCCGCCGCCCTATCAGAGACTCCATATCTGTCGTACGTCTTCGATAACGTAGGTAAGTTAATATGTGAGCTCTTTTTTCTCTTTATTTTAGGAATGCCATCGTCTGTAGTGTTTAGGAAATCATCATCTACTCCGCTCGGATGTCGGGGATGTCGGTGATGTCATGGAAACGTTAGTTTCTGTATCAACTCAACATAAACATACTCAACATAAAACTCTTACTCAAGGATTTACTTCTGGAGTTTTCGCGATCTAGTTTCCGTTTAAGGGTCTTTTGTAGTTTTTTTGTCGTAGTAATGTCAATTTTACCGATAAACATATTTCAAGAAGTTCGTTGATCTATTAAAAACGGTTGTTCCTGTTTGGGAGCTTTTTTATCAGTCGGGCAGATGCAATGTGGGAGTTCTTTACATTTGCAAGATGCAATATCAAAGAGCAGCTTACTATTTTCGCGAAAACTTTCCAATTTTTCTGGAGAAATCTTCTTAATAGACTTAAGTAAATTCTTGCATTTCATGTGACTTACCTTTAACATCTGTATTATTCTCGTTCGTGTTACAGTTGGAATAGATGCTGTTAGCCATATATTACCTATAATCCTAGGAACTATATATCTGCTAATTGTGCAAATGTTGGCTCCTTTGCAGTTTTTAATTGTAATTTGAGCTGATGTCTCGTCCATTCATAATACATCATTACATCTTCATAAGTAGGTAGAGAATTGTCTTTAATATCCACGATACCACCAAAAAGGGGACACTTAAATGCACTGCGAGTCTTTTCCATGCTTCAAAACAAACGTCCGTGCTGTCACTTCGAGTAATAACTGTGCACTGATACGACAAAATATATCGACACTTGAACTGCCTCTTGTTTTAAATACCTAAACCAACGTAAGAATACGTTTTTTAATGATTAGTAAACAAAATAGACTATTGTAACTGTCGAATAATAAAAAAAAATTTAATGACATATTTACGTAGCGTCAAACACGGGTCTAAAAATCAATTTATTCAAAAGTTCATTGACCTTGCGGAGGCAGATACCCTAAACTAATTCAAATTATATTTTGTGTGTGCTATGTTAAACCCTAAAGGCACCCTTTTCACGCTATTACATAACAATAACACGAAAAAAGTTTTTTCACTCCACCCTAGTATACATAGAGTGAATGATATGAACATGACATGAACGGTACTGACGGCTCGACTTCGCATACGTCACGAAGGTGGCCGCCAATCCCAATATCAACGTGCGGAGCTTATAGTTATGAATTTTTTGAATACTTTATTCCATAATCGAACTTCATCTTGGTTTTCTATTCCGGCAAAATTTGAAGCCAGTACTACACCTTTGTTGTCCATCCACTTGATGACAACTACATCTTTAGTACTATTCGTTACTTTTTTACCCTTCCTTGTCTGTTATGAGTGGTGGTTTTCCAAAACAATTTATTCTGATCGTTCCTCCTGCATACATTTCCTTCTCGCGAAGATCCTTCAGCAACACATAATTGGAAAATATTTTCCAAAAAAGAGGTAATGACCAGACCCATTTATTACATAAGCTGCAGATGCACCATATTACAAAACGTCATTTCTGTCTAGATTTGTAGTTCATCAACAGACTTTACTAGTCCCCTGCTGGACATAGGCCTCTCCTTAGAAGAGAGGTTTTGGCCTACTATACTACGCTACGCGTGGTATAGTAGACCAAAACCTCCTTTCTAAGGAGAGGCTTAAAAATATTTTCATATCTAAACTGGAATCCCAATACAAACCAATACGAAAATAATTTCATTTCTGTTGGGAGTACATGGCTAGAAATTACGGACTTAATTTCTCACAGCATACAATTTGTATTGAAAGTAAAATTTTCAATAAGGGACTGTTTATATTTATAAAAATAATCGAAGGTAGCGAGAGGTAAATCTATTTCAGAAGGTGGTGGAGCTGACCAAATGAATTGTGTAAATCTGTAAATCTTTTCAAGCTGTAAATCTTTTCTCCAAATTATGTCATTTTTAGGCTTACTACTTGATCCGGTTCTTGGTTCTTCCTCCTCTTCAGAGTGATCAACTATTACTCTTTCGTTTGGTTGTGTTAAATTACTAAACATTTTTTTTCTGGTATTGTCTGTACTATTTCATCGTCACTTTCATCGTCAAGGTCCGATATTGTTCCGTTTAATAAATTGAGTAAACTATTCACATTTTGGCGTTTGGATAGATCAAAACCTAAAATAAATAAAAATGACATGTGTAATTCAGTACAAAATCTTATTGTAAATATGAACGTTCATAAACGTCATAATGACGGGACCAACTCTTGTAATTGAAAATTTTTATCACGTGTATTTTGTACCTTGTCCTTAAATTTTTGTACTTCACACGGTATAAACGGAATTTCACGATAACATTGGTCTCGCCATTATGATGCGTTATAATGACGAGACCATGCCTGTACTCCAAAATTACAACGAATCACATAATTCTGTTGAAGTCAGTATTTAGTACCTGATTTAGTACTTCCAAAAATCAATAGTGGGTGACGGAGATATTAGTAGTCTCTTGACAAAATTATTTTTTCTTTTTTAACATTTACTATAGCCTGAATAATTTAACGAGCAAAAATACTTCAAGTAAAATGATGCAGCTACAATTCGTGGAGGCGCTTTATTATTGAATATATTATTTATATTATCATATAATATTATGTTAAAAATTGGCCTTATCGATATTATTATTTAAATATCGATTAGGCTCAGCAGAAAAAATATTATTTTACGTTGTTTAACATTTATTTATTTTTATTTATTTATTAAAAACAATTACAGTGTCTCTACAGGATTTATCCTAAAACGATACTGTAAGTAAAAACAGTAAATAACAGTTATTTATATATAAAAATCATTTGCTGTAATACATCTCTGTGCGACTTCTTTGAAGTTCGGCAGGCTACAGTTGTAGATATCTACTTGTATTGAAATAATATTAATAAGCCTTATGGCGCGTGATATAGGAGCATATCGAAGTAAATTTGTTCGCGTTACGGGAACGCTCAGCGGAGGGGGCTGGCGGCGCGCACCCGCGCACCCACGCACCCACGCAACCGTCAGGGGCGCACAGCCGCAAACTCGCCAGTATGTCGGGTTGGTGCAGACGACCGCGCATCACGCGCCACACGTATGTCACCAGCGCCACGTCTCGCCTCACGCTCAGGCGCACGTACCCGACCATGCCGAGGACGAATAAGCTTGGGTACATGAGTACTTGGGTACAGAAATCGAGCGAACTTGTTTTGGATTTTTTCCACCATAAGGCTATATTTAGCCTCATGAGGATTCCAAATTATAGCGGTCGCTTCTAGATGACTACGAACGAGAGCATTGTACAATATTTTCACCACTGACGTGTTATTAAAATCTTTACAGTTTCTCAAAATGAATCCTAAATTTCTAAATGATTTACTGCATGTAGTAACGATATGATTACGAAACGTCAACTCGGGCACCATTTCGACTCCTAAATCTCGGATGCTATTAAAGTACGGCATCAACGCACCGTCCATTTCATATGTGTAGCGCAGTGGAGCCCTAGCCCGGCTGTAACTCATAACTCCGCATTTAGCTATGTTAAAGTACAGCTTATTGGTATTGCTCCACTGCACTACCCGGTCTATGTCTTCCTGTATTTATAACATATAACATATTTTATATTAACTGTATTAATAAATAGTACTACGTTTATAAATATACTAAATATTATAAACGTAGTACTATAGTACTTATAAATACAGTACATCCTACTTTTAAATTGTATATGTACCAACATTTTTACGCCAGGGTTAGTCTGCAACATAATTAAAAAGTTTTACTCAAAATTAATATATTTAGCTGAGTCAATAAGGAAAACAAGTCAAACAGAGCCACTTTGAACTTCTCTGCTACTTGCTTTCCGTCTGGATTATTCAATCGAGGCGGAAAGCCATCTATTTTAATCTTGAAATTTTATTGGTGCGGATTATACTGTCTTATGAAAGAACGATTTTTATTGTTTTTTTAATGAGATACAACAAAAAAGGTTAAGATATAAATAAGTAGGCAAGTGTTTCATTAATAAAAAAATGTTTTTAATTAAACTACTTACTAAATTATATTTCTGCGTACATAATGCAATGTGGAATGACAAACGATTGACTTTTTAAAATTTTACGGTTCAAGTCATCATAACATTCCCATTTCCCTAGTACCCGGTTTACACAATTACATTTATAGTGGTCTATACCTGCAAAAATTGGCGGTACGAACTCTACTACAGCTACAATTTGATAGTATTTGTTATAAAGTTTTAAATTACTTGGAATTTCGTGTATATTAATTAACGTTTGTATTATCGTTTAATTCAAAAAATAACATATTTGACAAATCGTAAGAAATAGTTTTAACCCCAGTACATTCGCTTTGATTACATTGTTTTATATCATCTATTAACATTGTTTCTGCTTCTTCATTGAGTGCACAGATAACTTTCTTTTCTATAATATTTAAATCTAGTGGTAAAAAGCCAATATTTCTTTTATTATAATTAGAAGCACAGTTGACGTTGGTACAGGTTGTAATGACTTGTGCGCTATAAAGTATGTCCAATAGAATGTTTTCTACTATGTATGAAACATTGCATTCACAACTTACTTGTATCTTTGAACCCACGGTTTCTGTTTTGAAATACTTCATCAAAATTTCATTGCGCCTTAATAATAATAATAATAATATCGCCTTTATTTATATGAATTTCTGGATGCTCATTTTCTAATTCAGTGTTAATATTTTGGAATACTGATGTTCTTTTATAATCACTGCTATCATTGTTTATATTTATGTTAATTTTTTCTATGCTATCTTTCTTTTTAAATACAGATAAATTTTTCAACCTCATCCTTGCTTCATCACTTCTTAAAACATTGCCGTGAACAGATCCAATATATTTCGATAAGCATAACGTTACCATGTCTTTTACAGTTTGTTTGATTACTTTGTAATCTTGGCATTGCTTAATTAGCCCAGTCATATTAGGGCTTTCACCTCGGAATGAAAGATAATAAGCTGCAAATTGGTATGAACCTTTGTTTTGTCATTCTAAATGTTGTCTCAAAAGTCACAATCGTTATCGTGTCCGCGTCTCAAGATATTCAAGGTCAAAGGTCACAAAAATCGGTTTTTCGCGAATATCTGGCTTCCTATCGGTTAAATGAGATTTGCATTTATTATAAAAGTTGTAGGCTATAAAATTCCCTACAACTTTTGTTTAAACTTTTTTTTCATACGACCAACCGTTTTGAAGGTAGAGCGCGAAGAGTGCACATCGTACAGTCATATACGGCCTAATGCAAGGTCAAGCGTGAGTTATGGTTATCAGTACGTTATAAAGTCAATTATTTACTTGGAAATTATAATTATTAAACAATGCCTATTATTTATGTACTAACTATTAATTATTTATATTTAATTAAAGTAAGTAACTTGATTATTTATATATAATTATTCATATTTAACTATTTAAGTATAAAATATTATTAATTCTGGATTATATATTTTAGTTTTATTTTAAGTTAAAATGATAGTAAGAGTATATATTTTACACATATTTTTATTTATTATTAAATACGGCATAATATACATTTATCAAAATGTGAGTTCAAATATCAAAAGTATCTTTGTTGATTTTAATTGTAATGAAATTGGAAATGGAAGCTAATTATCTTCTTCTTGTTCGTCGTCTTCTTCTTCTTGTCGCTCAAAAATGTTCGATTCATTGTCATCATCCTCATTATCTGTCATGTTCATCTCCAAACCTTCCAGAATATCGGGATCATATGTATTTTCTTCATCGGGATTACTTGGATACAGTGAAGCGTTGAGGCAAGCTTGTCCGTTGCACTGGCCGCAAGCTAAAGAACATTGTAGCCCTGATTTTCTGCATCCACAGCGGGAACCACAACCATTTTTGCAATTGCAAAATATTACGTTTAGTAGTTCGGCTGGTGCTGGAGGTAATAACGTTCGTATGGGCTCCAGGATTTCATTTTCAAGCATCCAGCCCCATTCTTGAGGTTCTAAGTCCTTCCCTAACCACGTTTGAATCTGGTAGTAGACACGTTTTATGTGTTGATGAGCTGCTACACTTGTTGGTGGAAGTGTTGACAGTTGTACAGGTTTATTTAGTTTTGTAAATTTGATGAATTGCGTGTAGCGGAAATGATCAATGTTGTCCTCAGATTTTGGAGCATTATATAATGCCAACAAGATGCGCACTCCATTTTCTAATAATGTTTGTTTTGGGCAGTTTTCTTGTTGAAATACTTCCACCAGTTTATCTAAATCAGGAATTTTTTCCAATGCTCTAGTAACAGTTTTTTTTCCTTTTTTAAATAGCGCAGAAGTCGTGTCACAGCCACTGAATGCGTGTAAAAATAAAATGTGCTTTTTAGTACGAGGATATTGGTCAAAACTTTTAGTAGAATATATTTGTGTTTTGACATTGCCTTTGCCAACTTTTTTCAAAAAAATTTCCTGATGATGTGACTGAGTACGTCCAATTAAAATAACGAGCAAATCGATATCTTCTCCTATGATGACAGCAGTCTTTTGATGTTCTGATAAGGCAATAGCTGTGTCAATGATGAGAACATCAGCATCATCTCTAGCTTGTTTTGTTGTGATATTAACAGTTTTAAATTTTTCAACAAGCATGTCGATAAATTTTTTTTTATTAGACCGATTTGATAAAAAAAATTCTTGACTGATTGGCACAACCATTGTTTCGTCAAAACAAACTTCATATGATTTTGAAAGTGCAGCAGTTCTTCTTTGTTGTTCCAGTGCTTTAATATTTTTACTATAGTCCGAATATCCGTCAAATACAACAACAATTGCTGAGCCATAATGTGTTTGTAAATATTTAATGTACTTATTTAAAATAATAGAGAAAGTATCGTCTTTGCTCCATACGACGCGATGCAGAAGAAATCCACCATCGATGATGTATGTTACATTATTTTCATCAAGATCGATAACGACAGGCATCATATTGTCATATAATGTTGCTTTCGTGGTTTTTCTCATGCCATTACTATCAAATAAAGATGTCGGATACGGGCTTAGTTCATACTGAAGATATTCTTGTAAATTACTTTCAAATTTTTTGCTTACAGTTATTCTCTGGAAAAGTAACATTGGATCTATAGAAACTTTACAATCATTAATTTTGACAGATTTGTTAATGGCTGAAAGCGGTAAAACCTTATCGACGCGTTTTAACTTTATTTCGTTGAAGTTCAAACCAGTTATCTTTACCATAGATTGCAATCCGATTTCATGGGCTCGGTGACAATTAATTTGGTCATTTCCAACGATTCCTGAAGCTAAGGATACCAACTGATTCGTATTTGGAAAGGGATTATGAAGCGTAAACCAACCAACCAGTTCATTTACATCGGTATCATCCCTTTTTATTCGTGAATCTCTAGCATCAACATGTTGGTCCACAGAATCGAAAGAAATGTTACAAAACCGTTCAATTTCTTCACAAATTGTATTCGTGGCATACATAGCATATACCCACTTACATAGAACACTTTCTTGTGTACTTCGGCCTCGAGATACTCCTCCTTCTGTCTTCATAGATTTCATCAGACTTTGCTCGATTACCATGTCTGTCCATGTACCAGAATTGAATTTTTCTGTTCGTTTTACAGTAAAGAATCCGTTTTTAAAGTTCTCAAAAGCCTGTTGATCCATTGTCTCCTCAAGTTTTAACATATCTTGAAGATACAAATGAGCTGATTTCGCATATAGGAAATGACCACCAGCATGAAAATAGGGCAGCATTTTTCGCACTGCATCTAAATGTTCTTGAAAAAGTCCCAGCCTTTCAGCGCGAATGAAATCTAGGGCTATTGATACCATTTCAAAATATTGCACCCATAACTGTGCCGTGGGACCTCGAGCTTTTAATTCTTTTAGTTTATCCTGAAATTGATCAATAAACGAGTTGGAGCTGCTCGTACATCCTTCAACATCTTCGTAGGAAACATCGCGACTAGTTATCTGTTCAATTAACTCATCTAACACACAATTTTCAATTTTCATCTCTTCAAAAATCTTTATTGATAATGCAAGTCGTAATAATATATGGCCTCTGATACTTCTTGCATAAGCGTGACCATTCAACATTTTGTCGACCGAATTTGTAGCATATATTTTACTTAAAGCTTCCTTGAGACCACTACCGTCCATTACATGTCCTATGCATCCAAGAAAAGACATGAGCATATGAAATCCTCCAAGTTTGACAACTGTTTTAGACAAGTCTGAGTTTGCATCTGACGCAGCAACCATTTCACGTGCTTTTGAGTACAGGGGCTGATCAAATGTAATTATGCACGTTTTTTGTTGATGTGACTTGGCAATATTTATAGCACTATGTAAAGTTGTATAAATTGTGTCTAAATTACTGGCAGGATGATCAATGAAAGGTAGAAATATAACCTGAGAAGTTGAAAAATTTTGATTATTTTTCGTAAGTTGTTGAAGATAGCCATTCCACCCTGGCAACGGTGAAAGATTCTTCCATTTTCCGTATAACCACAACAAATCAACTGCATTAAATTTTTTTTCAATCAGTACTTGATCATCATGTAGATTTTGGACTTGAATCTTGCTGTACCCAGGTACAACTGGCTTTTCATATGCTAAAAGAGATACATGTGATATTGCTGCTAACTCTTTTGCACTCGGTTTAGTTGTACATTTTTTTATGCGATCATCATAAATTACAGCATCTTTCGGAGTAATTATTTTTATCATTCCCATAACGTGAAGAGTATTATTACCGTCAAGAGTACTGACATTAATATCTGCATTGTCTCCAACATATTGTACCAACGCACCAGACTCTGATGGTAAAATACGAGGTTGTGGATGGTAAACTGATGAAACTTCATACTGTATGGTATTACTATATGATGCAGCAAATCCTAAAGATGATAAAACATCCAACAATTTTTTAGACCCATATCTTCTGTGAAGAAATACGGAAAGGCCCAACAGTAGCTGTGATGAAAATGAACGTTCTCGTATCGAAGCCATTATTGCGTGGCTAATAGATGTGCATTTCGTTTTTAAATGATCTACTTGTCCTTTTCTATTTTTTAATATCATTTCTTCCAAAAAATGTGATAATGTTTTTGGTATTTCTTCATTAATACAATCTAGCATTTTATTCGGAGGTGGATACGTTTTTGTTTCAACTACAGATGATCTGATGTCTTCCCTAATAATAGCCGCAGCAGCTTCTACAATCCGTAGACGTTCTTCTACAGGAGTACTTTTTTTATTTTCGTGCCAAGCTTTTGATAATACGTTAAGCTGTGTATCACGGAAAGATATAATTGTAAATGATCCATTTTTTTTTGTGATTATTATATCAGTTAAATACTTTTGTTGTAATTTTGTAATAATTGTCTTATCGTCAGGTATGTATTCCGTAGGGACATCTTTAAGTTCTTTCAAAGTAAATTGAGAATCTTCATTATTTTCTATGTAATAAAAAATCTCCTTCATTGCTTGAGTGACTTGATCATCTTGGCGAGGCTTTTTATCTGCAGATGGTACTCGGGTTAAAAAGTTGGTATAGCAAATAGTATGATACTTTGCTTCAGCAGCGATCAAATCATACTCGTAATATATACGTTCCTTTACTAATTCTCCTAAGGAATCGTTTCGTTCTTCTGCTCTCTTAATTACGTTGTCTTTGAATGCAAGAGTACTTACATTACTTATTGTCCGTCTATACTTTAATTTTTTTTCTTTTCTGCTATTTCATCAGCTTCTTGGCCACAAAATAAGCATAACTTTCCAAAATCAAAGACTTCATTTCGTTTTTTACGAGGTGCACTTGACGTTGAAGGTTCACTCTCATCTGTGCGTCGTTTTGATGCAATAATAACATTTTTACTCGTGTACACTTTTCGACACTCGGAATGCACATTTACAGAACTTAAAGTATTTAAATAGTCTATATGTCCATCATTTCTTTCAATACTTGCAGTTTTTAAAGTTTGTAAACCACGTACGACATTCACAGAAACACCTTCTGAAAGTTTCTTATCACATATAAAACACAAATCAGCCATAGCTCTTAAAACCGTACGTCCGTAGTTGCAACGGTACAATTTCAAACTAACGAATAATCTTGACTCATACAAAGTGGAGAGAGTGGCCTTGAATACTATAGAACATCTGTCCCGGCAATGAATAGAAAAGGGCATAGGGTAGGGACAAGTATTTCCAGGTATATAAGTATTGAGAAATTTACGCGTTTTAAAGAAAAGATATATAATGTCGTGTTAACTTAAAATAAAACTAAAATATATAATCCAGAATTAATAATATTTTATACTTAAATAGTTAAATATGAATAATTATATATAAATAATCAAGTTACTTACTTTAATTAAATATAAATAATTAATAGTTAGTACATAAATAATAGGCATTGTTTAATAATTATAATTTCCAAGTAAATAATTGACTTTATAACGTACTGATAACCATAACTCACGCTTGACCTTGCATTAGGCCGTATATGACTGTACGATGTGCACTCTTCGCGCTCTACCTTCAAAACGGTTGGTCGTATGAAAAAAAAGTTTAAACAAAAGTTGTAGGGAATTTTATAGCCTACAACTTTTATAATAAATGCAAATCTCATTTAACCGATAGGAAGCCAGATATTCGCGAAAAACCGATTTTTGTGACCTTTGACCTTGAATATCTTGAGACGCGGACACGATAACGATTGTGACTTTTGAGACAACATTTAGAATGACAAAACAAAGGTTCATACCAATTTGCAGCTTATTATCTTTCATTCCGAGGTTGACCCCTTTTTTTACCTAATATGACTGGGCTAAATATTTTTCAAGCAAGTGACATAAAAAAACTTTACACGTGGGTCTATATTTTTGAAACAACCCAAATTGTTTAATATTTTCGAGAAATGGTTTGTATCCAGTCTAATATAACACTGTGGAGACTTGCAGTTAGGTATATTCAGTAACTGAAATGATTCATCAAGGTATTCCTTCGTTGTTGTATGCTTAGTAAATGCTTTTACAGCTGCTCCGATTAACGCAGATTAGTCGTCACATACTAATTCATTTGGTGGTGTATTTTTTTCAGACCAATTTTTAAGCCATTTTGCAATCGTGTCCATTGTCTGACTCTCCGATATCATTTGCAATATAGGCAAACTACTCTTACCATCAAAAGTTTGAACTACACATACATATAAAAAAAGATGTTTCGTAATTTTCATGTTACGATGAGGCCCAAATTCTTTTAAAATGCTGCCAGTAGCATCTTAACTCATTATGACTCTGTGCTTTGCAATGTATTTCTTGTAATACAATTCTTGAGCTGACAGCCAATAGTAAATAACAAAATAAGGATGTAATGATATATGTCTAATCAAATCGTTATAAGGTGGGGTTTGCGCCATAAGCCATACAGATATTGTTGGGTTCGGGTCGTAAAAGGAAGCCTTTTTAGTTTGATATTTAATTTGACGCAAAGTCCCTAATGTTGGTAAATGTGTAGGTTCTACATCATTGTCCTCCATCACAGAATCAGCAAGGGATCGATGAACAGATAATGCGGAATCTGTTTTCAGTTTCGCGCTAAGTGCCGAGCGTTTGAAGGGTGACATTGTAATTTTTCTCGAAAGTTTATGATTGACTTTATTATCAACATTGCTGAGAGTACACTTACATGTAACAATTTTTTCTGTAGGCCAAATTAAAAAAAATTCAATCTTCGCTTTGCATTCCTTACAGTCACCATAGAATTTAATAAATTCTTGTGCTTTTATAGAGACTGTTTTAAAAATCCAAGAAGATGGTTTCTTCGCAGCCTTCCATAATTCTTCTCGTAACATTTCAGCCCATACATGTTTTGGTAAGGACCACTTTTTTCTATAGTTAGAAGAAGTGAAATGAGAGCTACTTCTTTTAACTACCTTTAACAATCGGTTGAATTTTTTCCCAAGAGTAAATATCTAAATGAAAAGTGATGTACTCGTTGTTTAACTTTTCATCTTTAATATTAGAATTTGAGCTGGAGTCGTCCGTTTCAATTTCTTCAATAATTTCTTGATCTTCTTTTGTTACAGAGTCATCCTCTATGTCAAAAAAATAGTCAATGTCTTTTTAAGGATAAATAAATACTTTTAGGATTCATTAAAAAGTTTAAATCCTCACTAATTTTAGAGAAAATGTGGTCATTTGAGTGTAGGTAGTTGTTGTTCTTGAAGGCACTCGCATATTGCAAAAAAACTTTCTTTTGATGCTCCAAGGAAACTGCACCTCTTCTTCCTCTTTTCATGTTTAACAAATATTTTTGAAGTGACACAAAAATAAACACTTCGAAATCTCAATATCGTTAATCTGATAACCGTTCCTTAATATAACAATAACTTTGTTGTAAATTACAGTGGGTTTGGGTTTGTTGTAGCAAATAAACTAAGATTCAAGTGCTTTCAACGAAATGTAATACAATACTAACTTGTACAATACTTTGAACAGAATAAAGAAAACAATTTAAAAACACATTCATCTCTTTTGCTTTTTACTTTTCTATTCTATTTTCGTTTTGACGCTGTCACACATGAGATTGTAGAAAAAAGGTTCGTCAATTGATCAATTCTCAACAAAAAAAATTAATCCTTCACTAAGGAATCGACCTTCATTACTGTTAATTACAAATTGCTAATAATTACTATGTAGGCAGTTTAGTTTTTTAATGCGAATGGCGAAAGAATATTTCTTGACATTCTTGTCACTCATGTCATTATCTCAGAGTAACTAACAGTAATACTGAAATTAAAGTAAATATATTTATAGAACGCATAATAATAATTTTTCCGCTTCACCTAGCGACCTTTTATTGGGAAACAGAAATAATTGCGCCTAATGAATAAAAAAATTAAGCGCCTGCATGAAATGTGGCTGCAACTTTTTACTTGAAGTATTTTTGCTCGTTAAGTTATTCAAGCCGTAGAATAAGTCAAAAAAGAAAAATTAATTTTGTCAAGAAACTACTAAGATCTCCGTCACCCACTGGAGATTTTTGGAAGTACTAAATCAAGTACTAAAAACTGGTTTGATCAGAATGATGTGATTCGTTGTAATTTTGGAGTACAGGCCTGGTCTCGTCATAATAACACATCATAATGGCGGGAACTTTGTTATCGTGAAATTCTGTTTATACCATGGAGGTACAAAAATTTAAGGACAAGTACAAAATAGTACTAAATGGGTACAAAATACACGTGGTAAAAAATTTCAATTACAAGAGTTGGTCCCGTCATTATGACGTTTATGAACGTTCGACAACTATTGTTACCCTATGTCTATTTAAATAGGCATAGCATTCATCTACAATATTTTATTACAACAACCAAATAATTTGTATTTTTTTTTGTAAATAATACAATGTGTCTGGGTTCGGACTGTACAAACTTTAGGGGGTGATAGTTTGCTCTATTTTATCACTAAAATCATTCTACAGGTGGGGTCTAAACCCAACGGCCCGTGAATGGCAGCCATTTTTGTATTTTATTTGACTTTTTCGTAGCGTCCATACTAAAAGTTATGTAACTTTGGAGTTTAATGTCCGATTATCGTAAAACAAAAACTTCCCATAACGGACAAGTATTAGCAATCAGATAAATAACTCAAATAATTTTAATAATTGCTGTATCAAATTAAAATAAATGCTAAAAGATCAACTTTACGTCAAAATTAACA